TAGGCAGAAAAAGTTTGTTGCTATGTAATGTTCCAAGTAATTTGAATCAAATTGGTAATCAGAATTGACAATGACTTTGGGTCAACAAAAAATGATGGATTATTTGGACTTGGAGAAAAAATTACATGTTTCACATGGCAGAAAAAAAGATGTAATGCCTTGGCTGGTTTCCTATCCTCGGTTACGCCTAGGCGCGGCATTGAATCTTGTACTTTTTCATAGCCTAGACCAATTCGATTCAAATCTCTCAAAACGTTGCATAGCAACAAACTTTTTCTGCCTAGGCAGTAAAAGTTCACCTTTTCTGCCTGTTAAGTGTCTTTAAAAATCCATTTTTAATGTCATTTGGGGAAAAATAAATATTTGAGGTCAGCTCTCCATGCAAGAGAAACCAAAAACTGAATAATAGGGTTTCCATCTAAAACCATTGCTGCAGACGGTATTACTCAAACGTGGATAACTTATATATTTGATTTTCCGTTTCAAATGTGCAAATTGAGGTTTAAAATCGCCCTGTTGCAGAATATTCAGCACTGTATGAGTTGAGAAATATTCTAGGAACTCACCTGTCAAATTCGTGTGGTAATATAATCGATAATAATGTCCCTGGTAATTGGTATATTATCGTAATAATTCCACCAGGACTAACGAACGTATACTGGCCTCCGCGCCTCGACTGTTGAGTTGGTTGAACAAATAAAATCTGAGAGAGCGTGTATTTTTTATGGTGAACTCGCGCTGCAAGCAATCATCGTTTTCGAAAAATGTATGTTTCTAGTCAAACAATATAGATAACAGGAATTGTTTATCAGATCATGCACAGTCAAGGAAATCCCCTATAATTCACATAAGCATCACATATGGTGTTTGTAGAAGATTGTGTCATATACAGGATGACAAAGAAACTTTCATAATTGACTTTGTTATAATATAGTGCCTCCATAACGTACTGAATAAATTCATTTTCAGTCAAACTATAACTTTCTGAAGTTTATCTCGAAGTAGGTCCACTTTTAACTTGAATTTACCATAGTCATACGGATGAATTGAATATACAGGGTGATCAACGTTGGAATTATCATTTCCGCGTCAATTTTTTTTTCGTCCTGGTTCCCACGAAAAGGGATATCCTGTAATGTTCAGAGAACATCGTGGGAACCAAGGGAAATAAATTAGGATTTGGTGTTCTTCTTGAATTCATGGAGGTTATATACCTCGGGAAACACCTCCCTTGACAATGTGTTCCAGAGACTCGCTGTTCGTTGGATAAACGAGTCTTTGGAGAGAGATGTTCTGCAGGTCTCCAAAGTGACCACGAAGGGGTGCGAAGCCTCAACTTGACGGGTTAATCTCGCGAGGACTGCCAAGGGAGCAACAAAATTGTTGATGTATGTATGAAAATATCTATAAAATAGATCCAGATTGCCAATACGGTGTTCCAGGGAAGTAAGTGAGTTTGTGAGCGAGACATCACCCACGAGACGACTTGTCCTTTTTTGGACAGAATTCAACAGTTTCAGGGTATGTTTGGGTGCTGCATTCCAAATATGGGAACAGTATTCCAGGACAGGTCGGATCTGTGCCTTATAGATCATAAGCAGCTGACTGGAAGGGAGATAGCTCCAGGCCCGAAACAGAAATCCAAGTTTCCGGGATGCACTTTCAGCAATTGATCTCACGTGATTTTCCCAAGAAAGGTTATTGCTGATAGTAATATACCAATCATCGAAATGGATGTCTTCAAAGGTATGGTTACTCCTGACAAGCTTATGTTGGGCACAGTGAGATCAGCTTTTCTAGAGAAAAGGCATGCTTGTGTTTTGTTTGCATTGAAATCTACCAAGTAATTGGATCTCCATTCGAGAATTGTTGCCAAGTCCATATTTATGTTGTCAACATTTCTCCCTCGTTCGTTTCTGATTTGCCTGGCTGGTATCAGAGCCCTGGAAGAGAAGGCTGTATGGAGGGTACTATCATCCGCGAAGCTGTGTACTGGACATGAAGTTGCTTCCAACAAATCGTTCATATGGAGTAGAAATAGTGTTGGTGCTAGAATTGATCCTTGCGGAACACCAGTATTTATGATATAAGAGAGTCAGATGAAACTCCGTCGACCACTCTATATGGAGAGACCTGTTTGAGAGAAAACTAGCTAGCAGAGAACATAGCTATGGGGAGGCAAGCCATAAGATGGAAGCTGGGCGAGGAGTCCATAGTGCCAGACTCGATCGAATGCCTTGGAGATATCATGTGCCACGGCAAAGGTTTCACCATATCTTTCAATAGATTGCTGCCATATATGTGAGACGTAAACGAGCAGGTCACCAGTTGATCTTTGATGACGGAAGCCATATTGCCTATCGTTGATAATACCTGAATGTTCCAGGTATTTCATGAGTCATGAGCTCTATGTTGACAGCTTTTTCCATGATTTGTTAAATAATAGATAGCAGTGCGATCGGTCTCTAGTTGCAAGGTAGGGTCTTTCTGCCTTTATTAGGAACTGGTTGTACTCTTGCAATTTTCCAGTTGAACGGGAATATCCCCAATTTGTAAGAGTACCTACTTGAACAACTTATTCTTCGTTCGTTCTATTTGAAAAAAAAAATCATCGCGGACGTCATGAATCAGACGTGAATCACAGTGTATTTACGATTTCTGCTTACAAATGTGGAACAATGGAAATTGACTTCGACCTGTTTCAATAGATTCCTCAAATATGGATATAGTTTGGCTAAAAATGAATGTATCTACTATTATACGCGAGAATCCTGCTTGAAGTGACGGATTTGCTGTATACAAACCCTATGTGTGATATATGGTTGAAGTCAGTTTTCCATGAAGATCCCAAAATTTGGATAATATATAGGGTGTGCTATTTGAAAAAATTGAATTTTAAAAAGTTTACGATAAGTTCGTTGAAATAATATACATATTCTTCATAGATCCTTTTATAAAATTATCCATTTTATGATAAATGGGTAGGTAATGAAATTAATCTTCGCTTATGTGCATGGGTTTCAGAGGACGAGGCAGCTGATCGCCTGGCAAAAATGTGCGTACAGTCCCTATTCTTTGGTCCCGAGAAAAAGAAAAAGACATTAACAATCATTGAGTCTCAGCAAACCAGACATAAATTACTCAAAAAGATGGGTCTAGCGGAGACTTTAAACGTGACCGAAACCGCGGAACACATACATTGCTCATGCTTGAAATGTTCTAGTCCGCAAAAGGCTGAATCACATAGAACAGGTCTACCTGACGCCTGCTGAGGTGGAAAATTGAACCATCAAGAAAATCCTAGGTTTCATGAGAAGTCTAGGGTTATAGAAGGCAATTAGATAAGGGTAATCCCTACAATCTACAAACTCATTATCGTTACATCGTCGTTTGACGGGAGGTTGGTACCCTGAAGGATCTGGTTCCGGAGATGGTGATGGTGCAGGTAGAGCAGATCGTATAAGCTCCTCCACTAACGAATAACATGTGGCAGGAGTGAAAAACATTAATCTACATTGTCGTGGACCACAGCAAGATCCTGTAGACAACCCGTCGCAATCAAGGCGGTATCTATGGGTCAGGGCGGAAATTTTGTTTTTTTACTACGCGGCCATAAAAAGTATCGCATTTCTCATAGCTTACTTTTAGTTTCAAAACCATGTATTACCCATACTGTGAGAAATATTTTTTTCTTACGGCACTTTGCCAACACCACATACATTTCCATCGAGAATCAACAAAAATCGACCAAAACTTGGCTGCTGTTCAGCTTTGAATAGTTGTCACAACTGTTAGAAGAAGTTTTTTAAATTCTTTAGGGTAGTTCTCATTAGTGCTTTTGATAGAAATCGCATTTTCCATCAAATATTGTTCCAACAATTCATAATAAATAAAATGATGTACATACCGAGATGTGACGATTTTGATAAATACGCCGCCAGAGACAGAGAGATAATGAGAAAAGCTGCGAAAGTTGGATTTGTTTCCGGAAATTTCAAGAAAAAAGTATGATGCGGCATATTGGTATGAAAAATTTATGGAATCTGATGAAGAAATACAGAAATAAATTCTTTTCGGAAAGTTTACTCTTTTTAAATACTTTTAGGAACTAGGAAAGGCGTCTACTCTTTGGTCACAATATTCAATGTGGCATGGTGCCACATTATAAAATGAATACCAATAAGTTACATTACTCGGATTCTTTGAATAAGTGCAGTTGTAGAAAAATTATAGTGTGCCACATGTGGGCAAAAAGCAATATTCTCACTCGTGCGTTTGCATCAATCGCCCTTCAGGCTCGTGTCACAAACTTTTGTACACGTGAGAAAAGTTGAACTTTTCCCACTTGTTGCACAATATACTATTTTGGAATTACAAAAAATTATTCTAGTTTTCAAAATTTGTTTACCAAGGGTTATACACGATGGTGACTGATGGTTAGGAACTTTGAGACTTGACTCAAGTTGTATTTTCTTGTTGAACCGTGTTCAAGATTGATTTCGAACTGTTTCCAAGCGTCACATAATTATTTTCCTCATTTCAGACCATTTTGAAATGAATAAATCTGGAAATTGACGTGCATTTAGTCTGAAATCAATAATTTTCGAAATTAACGAATATCTATGAGAAGTGTGAAAAAAAGAAACAATTGTGTACAATGTAACAAGAAGACTTTATAATTGATCTCAACAGAAAACCATTCATATCCTCGAACTTCGATGGGTTCTCACGCCTCCAGCCTCCACCTGTGGTTTTGTGGTTCAAACCATTCATCTAGATGATTTTGAATCGGAATGAACCGCATTACTTGGTGACGTCAAAAATTACTCGAGAAAATGCTTGTTTTCAAAACGTTTTGAATATGGTTGAACACGAAAAAACAGCTTTGTTATTGACGTTGATTTGACAACAATGACAACTTGATGACAAGTGACAACTAAGATGACAACCAAAAGCAAAACTCAAAATGGGAGCGTCGTGTGTCGTTCGTGTATTGTGTATGTATTGTGTAGGTTATTAGTGTTCTGTGGTTTAGTTAAATGTATTTTATAAATGAAAAAGTCTTTTTTAAAATGAATTCGTGTCTAAAATCGTGACAATAATGTTCGTGAACAACTTATATTTGGATATTCAACGTCTCTTCAAGTGTTAAGGTGAGTTTTAAAATATAAGCTAGTTTGATTCAAGATGCCCTATCCAAGAAGAAAGGAACTGTCAACAGCTACCTTCCAGTTCACATTCACAATAGCAGGATATTCGGCTTAAATCTAGTCCGGAATTCAAAACCCAATTTTCAAACGAGAAGAGATCTCGCGAATTCGATAACGAAGAGAAATTGTTGTCATCCACATTTTCTGTTGTTTTTGAAATTTTGTAAACAACAATGGAATCACTGTTTTCAATTTCCACTACCTACTAAAGATGTTATGATGTTAAGTACCATGTTTATTGAATGTTCTTCTTTGATTTGAGAGTATAGTGTTGTCCTTTGTCCTAATTATATATAATTTCAGCTGATGAATATTTGAAATATAATTCATTCAGCAGCAAGGACCATTATCATGGAGATTTCCTCTAGTTATGTATAGCTCAGGTAGAAATTTTGACCTAAATTTGAAGGAGAAAAATTGAGTGTTTCATCAACTTTCTTCCAGCTCAAGCAATGGACGGTCAGAGGGCCATGGAGCTCATGCCCTTGTTGCAAGAGAGGCTTGTAGCTCTGACTGGAGGTCGTGATCGGAGGGGTGGAGCTATTTTATCTTTTCCTGCAAATTCCAGAAGAGAACGGGCTAAGCCAGAAGATTACAGAAGACTTCTGCAGTACCTCATGTCATTGCCAAGGTAGATTCAATGTTGGCTATAGGTAGATTGTTGAGAAGTCCAGCATTCACATCATGACAGTTCCAAAAGAAAATTTGAGTATTCCATTTAGCTAGGAAATTTTAAAAAATTCAAATCACATTTTCAATCAAACATTTTCAAAATTTCATTTGAAACTGTCAGAAATTTCATTGGGATCTTCATGATTAAACTTTCCTCTCTTGTCCTATAAATATATAAGTACTTGATCATTTTCAAATGTGTCATTTGAAACATCCACAATTAACTGAATGTTTTATATTGATCCCAAAATGGATTGGTAATATCTCTGTGAATGAGCATCTTAGCTACATGGTATGCTTCAACCAAGCTTCAACTTATTGATAGAGAATAAAATTCCTCATAGAGTGTTGTGAAAATGTTATGGTCATTCCATTTGACAAGATACAGTTATTGGTATTTGAAATGACAAAAAAGTAAATATAAATACCAAACACCATTAGGAATACTGTAGAATGGTTTTGAACTGATGATCTGAACAATTATCCTTTCTTTTTTAAAGTGTATACCAATAATGAACTTTTCATCATCACAATATCATTGATAATACAGACATTTGGTAACTCCACCTGTCATTTTTTTCTCAAATGGAGATTGCAAAATTCACTATTATACAGGATGTTCTAAGTTGTTCATGATTTTTTTACTTTTATTTTTGCTACAGTAATTAATATTGCTTGAAAGAGTTCAATTTTTATTAATGTTGAATTTTATTTGATGATTGATGACATGATGCTATTGTCCTTATGCTATCTTGATCATGATATGCAATAATTTTCGTTGTAAAGGTGAATCTGTTTATTAAATAAATAAATAAATGAATAAATAAACTAGAAGTGACTGCAAATTGAAAATCTTGCTATGGTGCAACCAAAATTTCCGGTCATTTAGTTCTAATATCCTCCAGAAATTACCATCCCAAAATATGATTCTATAAAATCAGCTAATCTATTTCCTTTTCAGTTCTACTGAGGACGGCAGCTCATTTGCTGAAATAAGAAGTGTTTTAGTTTTTATGAATACATATTTACATTACCAAGGAGATATCCAACAAAGGAACTATATATAATTTACCAAATGATGCCCCTTTGTAGTATTTATGGATATCAATATTGTTGTTTTATTCACAATAGTGTCAACAATTCTATACACACTAATAATATATTGAGAAAATGAAGTCAGTTTCATGATCATAAGACTGAAAATGATTTGCAGATACTTTAATTTCACTCCAATTATGGTCAAATCATGGTCAAAACTCATTTCTTGTCAGGGGAGTGGATTTCTATAATAACCTACCAGACCCTCCAGGTTCAAAATACAGTAAATAAAGTATTATTTAAAAATAGTGCACTAGCTAGAGAAATGGAGCAATCATTTGTCATACACTCTCAAGTTTGGTTTGTTCCAATAACAACTTGATTCAGTCATGTGATATAATATCTGTTTGAATATCTTCAAATATGTATATCTTGTATATTTTTTTGTTTTTATATGTATATTTATTAGCTTAATGTGCAACTTTTTTGTAATAATTGTAACTTACTCATTTATAGGATGTACCTAAATAGAATGTGTTCCACAAACATGGAATTTCCTTTCATCTGATTGATAATATAAAAAAAATATTGTATTGATAATGTGATATAGTTGATTACCCAAAAAAAAAGGGATCTTGATTTGTGAACATAGTTCAATACTACTAACAATAAAACAATCTCAAATAACAAGATATATCAACTGAAAGTTATCAAGATATCTGGGTGTTTTGCTTAATGATCCTATCAGTTCATCTATTTCTATATCTTTATTTTGTATTTTAGTGATGGAATTCGGTCTGTAGGGTTTACAGTTCTAGTGGATATGAGAGGGTCCACATGGACTACTGTGAAGCCTATATTGAAAGTACTGAATGAGCATTTCCCTACTGGGACAGTTCACCAGGCACTCATTGTAAAACCTGACAATTTTTGGCAAAAACAAAGGACATCCATTGGTTCACATAAGTACAAATTCGAGGTAAACCCATTGCTCTTTCATAGGAGAAAACATAATATCTTGAAATATTGATCATCATAATAAATATTTAGCTTAGATTCACTTTACCCTTTGGTTTACATTATGCAATATTATATTATACAGGGTGTCCGCTTAAAGGAGGTCAATCCATTAACCACATATTCCTTGAACAAAAACAATATGAGTTTCTAAATATCATTTTTCATTTTAGCCCTTCATATTCGGTATACAGGGTGTCAAAGTTGGAAATTAAAAACTGTTTTTTTCTAATTACTCGCGTATTTGATAAGATATTAATCTCAAAATTGGTACATTACTTCAGCACAAAGAGTTACATCGTGTGAGGAAAACAACACAGAAAATAACTGTCAAATATTCAAGATACTGGGGGTCAAGTTCACACTTACCCCCATATTTTGTTTGTACGTGCGCTATTGACTTCCTATCTATTTTCCTTCAAGTGTTCAATCATTTTTGAGTATTTTTTGTTTCCTGTAAAATTTCGATTGAATCATTTGTTTTTAAGATAATTCGAAAAGTACTGGTTATTGTTTGATGCCTATGCGGCTTAGGTAATCTCATAATGTTCACATACTCCTATTTATTTCGTCGAAATTGAAAGAGGGCGTATCTTTTTACGTACGAAAAGGTAAATATGGGAATACCGGATGCTCGGAGCAAATGTACTAAAATAATTTTTACAAAAAAAAAAAAAATTAAAAAGTGTAAAAATTATTTTAATACATTCGCTCTGAGCACCCGGTTTTTCCATATTCACCTTTCCGTACGTAATAAGATACGCCCTCTTCCAATTTCGACGAAATAAATAGGAGTATGTGAACATTATGAGATTACCGTAAGCCGCAAGGCATCAAACAATAACCAGTACTTTTCGAATTATCTTAAAAACAAATACTTTTATCGGAATTTTACAAAAATCAAAAAATACTCAAAAATGATTGAACACATGAAGAAAAATAGATAGGAAGTCATTAGCGCACGTACAAAAAAAAAATGGGGGTAAGTGTGTACTTGACCCCCAGTATTTTGAATATTTGACAGTTATTTTCTGTTTTGTTTTCCTCACACAATGTAACTCTTTGTGCTGAAGTAATGTACCTATTTTGAGATTAATATCTTATTAATTACGCGAGTAATTAGAAAAAAACAGTTTTTAATTTTCAACTTTGACACCCTGTATATCGAATAAGAAGGGCTAAAATGAAAAATGGTATTTAGAAACTCATATTATTTTTGTTCAAGGAATATATGGTTAATGGATTGACCTCCTTTTAGCGGACACCCTGTATGTGCAGATTATTTTCAAACAATGCACTACAAACAAAACAGGAAAATAATGTTATAAAGATATTACTGGTTATTTATTTACCTGTGCTACATTTTACCTTTGTAAAAAGTAGTATAAAAACAATAGATACAGCAACTTCTCTTAAGCTTATAATTATTTTATTGCTAAGAATGAGTTGGAAATACAGTATGGACTATTTAAGGAAAAAAATTGATCACTCAAGACTCTAGATGCTGAATTGAATAATCTATGAAAATTGATTTTAAAGGTGTTAATAACCAAAATGCTGCTAACCAAGATCTTTCAGTTTTCTGTTATTTCAGTTTATGTAGCTCTAGAAGAATCAATAAGCAATCATTCTCATCCTTCATGATCAGGATAAGATATACATACACATACAGGGTGGGTCATGGTTGACGGCACCTTAGACGTTTATGGAGAACAGGAGATAAGATCACTCTGAAAATTTGGTTACTCAAGTAATTGCTCTTGATCTATTGATCTAAAATATTTCTAGCAATACAGCGTTGCCACTTATACCAGAAAGTAGCAGCATCTTTGTTATTTCAAATGGGACACCCTGTATATTACCTCATTTTTGAATGTATCATCACTTTCTGATTTTTCTGCCTCATACTATCCTATACCTATCTCTAATTGGTCCTATCTCGGAATTCTGACTATTCAGGTATAGGAACATAATATATCAATTCCAAGGGAATTTAGTCATCCTTCAGGATATTTCAACCCGTTTTGTATCTAGCAGTAAGATCATGAATTTTGAACGACCCTGTATAACGCAGAACAAGCAGCTCACTACAGAATCAATATACATGATCTTGATGAACAAAACACAAAATTGCAACCTCCTAAGAATCCAAATACTGAAGAAATAAACATTCAATTAGAGCTATGTTTTGGACAAAAATATGTAAAATAATCAATATGTCAAAAATGTGAGAGATAGGTATAGGATAGTATGAGACAGAAATAATCGGAAAGTAACGAAGTTAGAAAATGCGTTAATATACAGGGTGTCCCATTTGAAATTACAAAGATGCTCCTACTTTCTGGTATAAGCGGCAATGCTGCATTGCTGAAAATATTCTAGATCGATAGATCAAGAGCAATTACTTGAGTGACCAAATTTTCAGAATGATCTTTTGTCCCATTCTCCATAAACGTCTAAGGTGCCATCCACTGTGACCCACAATGTATATTAGGAGTATCTCTTGTCCCATTCTTGTCCTATAGCTTGTGTTTTTTATGCAGACAAATATGATAAGTATAGAAGCCTTGCCAAAAATAATAGATAGCTCTCAATTGACATCTGATCTTGAGGGTACTCTGAGCTATGACCACTCTAGTTGGTTAGAATCTAGGCTTGCCGTTGAAGAATTTCTGTGGCAAGCTGCCGATCTGTTGGATAGACTGGACGATTTACAGGTAAAATAAATCAAGAATCTTTATCCTGTGTATACAAACTTTCCTTTTTTATTTCATTTGGGCTGATTTCTTCAGGAGGATCTGACTAGAAATGACTATGCAGATGATGTCAGTGGAGCCAAGCATAAGATAGATCTGCACAATGAGATGAAGAAGAAAATCATGAAAGCACCTATTGAAGATATTGATATGTTAGGTAAAATAGTGTTTTTGAATTCCATATAATTTTTTATTTTATGTCAACAGTGCAGTCATTATTTCAAATTGAAAATGTACCACCCTGAATATCTCAGCTCCTATAGAGAATATAAAAATACTTTGTAAGCTGGTTTGTGATTGAATGGGAATGGGAAGGAGGGTTAAATGATACCTATTTTGAGGGCCATTCAAGTGTATCTTTTCCACAAATACCACAAGTATTTGACTTTCATGTTTACTTTTAGGAAAATCAGCTGAAAACTGTGAACATGTTGAGATATCAAGTTTAGCAAGAAATTAAGTAATTCATAAAAAGTATTTATAATTATTCTGTGAGCAGTAATACACTCTGATTTATAACTCTTCTAATGTTTCAAAAAATGTCTACTTAAATTTCTCTAAATGCAGCTATTGCTATTATTCTCCACTTCATATATCCCAAATCTAAGGGCTGTGTTTTATGAACAACCGATTCAAGATGCCTCTACAAGAAGAAATCTAGAGGCGTTAAATCAGGTTATTCGGTGGCTATTTGATGGCTCCTGTTCAACCAATCCATCTTTCAGGAAATCTATCATTCACCCACTCTCTAACTGGAAGAAAGTAGTGTGGGGGAGATATTGTTGGAAGTGAATAAAATCATCTCTCAAAATCATATCATCAGCCTCATATAGTTGATATTCAAACGAAAATGTGTCTCCTCAACCTGCCAGATTTTTTTCCCAATGAATAAATGTTCAATTATAGCATTTTCAAGAATACCAGTCTGAACGTTAACTTTCTGTATACTGTACACGAAAAATATAGCTAATTTTCATCGCCTCTATATTGTCACGAGTAGAACATACGGTATATTAGAAATTTCAAACCATGAGGGTTTTATAAACATAAAGTTAATCAAATCATCCGTTGACATTGAATTATAAAAACTGACCAAGGAACTCTCATGAATATTGGATGTGAGGGTTCCGAAGTTAGTCTGGTCTGGGGCTACTCTTGACTTGACAAGAGCTCGTCGTAATGGTCGTTATAATGTAAGTTGTTATTAGGTCTTTATATTCATTGTTTTTTATTCATATTTGTCATTGCTACCCATAATGTTTCATGCTTCATTAGATATTGTTATGTTTGAATATAGTCTCGTACTTTCAGTTACCCCTAAACTATTAGTGCCTATTCGAATATTACCTCTCGCAAACTATTAAGACAAGCATTACCCCTTATAAATCGATATGGATGGGCTAACCATCTATTATATCGTGACATGGTGGATAACCACCGATTATATCGGGACAATATCGAAAAATTTTATGTTATTCAGTGATGGTGATATTTTGCAAAATAGTATGGTTGGCATTTATCATATCTGCCATTGTTTCACGAAATTTAATCCTATCACAATCGGCGTCGAGAAGCTGTTGATGAATCTGTATTTTATAATGTTGGAATTTATACAATATGCAAATTGAGTGCTTTTCTTACTGTTTCATGAGACATTCCTCCTACCACTAAACGAATTGAGTTGTCAGTAAAAGTGCCTAAAACTTCTTCATCATCAACGATTCAGTTTCATTGAACTTTGCAACTAATTCTAAGAGATACTTATCATTTGAATTATCGGATATCTTTAATAATTAAACATTGCTGCCATCCTTCTTGTCAGTCAGCAAAAAAAGAAATACAAATTTCACGCGCGAGATCGCCGTTGCAGGCGGCGGCTCGCTCTTTTCTTCATGATTATTCAACGAAATCGATCGATTAGGCCATCTATTGATTATAATCCAATAGATAATATTGAACTTTCAGTATATTATAATATACAAGGATTGACAAAGGTATGGAACCTTGTGTATATCTCGGTAACGGTTTGTTAGATTGTTGTGAATACAGGGTGTCCGCTAAAAGGAGGTCAATCCATTAACCATAATTATATTCCTTGAACAAAAACAATATGAGTTTCTAAATACCTTTTTTTCATTATAGCACTTCATATTCGATATACAGGATGTGAAAGTTGCAAATTAAAAACTGTTTTTTTTTTCAATTACTCGCGTATTTTAATAAGATATTAATCTCAAAATCGGTACTTCAGCACAAAGAGTTACATTGTGTGAGGAAAACAAAACAGAAAATAACTGTCGAATATTCAAAATACTGGGGTCAAGTACACACTTACCCCCATAATTTTTTTGTACGTGCGCTAATGACTTCCTATCTAATTTTCTTCAAGTGTTCAATCATTTTTGAGTATTTTTTGTCTCTCGTAAAATTTCGATAAAATTATTTGTTTTTAAGATAATTCGAAAAGTACTGGTTATTGTTTGATGCCTATGCGGCTAACGGTAATCTCATAATGTTTACATACTCCTATTTATTTCGTCGAAATTGGAAGAGGTCGTAACTTTTTACGTACGTAAAGGTAAATATGGAAATACCAGGTGCTCAGAAATTCAACACGTTTAATTTAATTTCCAACTTTGATACCCTGTATATCGAATATGAAAATATAAAATGAAGAATGGTATTTACAAACTCATAATGTTTTTGTTCAAGGAATATATGGTTGATGGATTGACCTCCTTTTAGCGGACACCCTGTATATGTACAGGGTGATTTCAAATTATGGCAGATTCGAAAATTTTCTCACCCATGTTGCCAAGTTTTAATTGTGCATTACTTCAAAAACACCTTCATAGTTTTAATATCTGGTGTAATTCCAACTCTCATCAATACTGAAAAACTCTAAATTATCTAAATCTTAAGAATTTTTCGACATAGAAATATGAAATTTTCTGGATCGATAGATGCACTGAAAATTAACTCAATGCACAAAAAAGGTCGTCCCTACGTGATATTCACAGCACGCCAGCAGAGACGAATTGAATATCTTCAGGGCTGAATTTTATATAAAAATTTGGGAATCCTGAACACGAATTCGGAATTTCGGTCAATTTTGCCCCCTAATATAATTTTCCAGCAACATGGGTAGTTCCATCGCTACTGACGTGCAGTTTATATCACGTAAGATGACCCCTTTCGTGCAGTCAGTTCATTTTCAGATATTGTTCTTGAAATTTTCATGGTTCTACGTCAAAATATACGGAAAATAGTGGGGTCTTTCCATGAGAAGTGAGACACACTGTATAATATACCGCGAAATTTGTATTTCTTTTTTTGCTGACTGACTGGCGTTGTCCCGCAGAATCGATGACTGACCATTTTTTTCATGATTCATATGACAACAAATTTCCTAGCAAATGAATTGAAATTCATTTATTTTTTGCATACATTGGGGCTGACTGACCAGCTCCCGTCCCCACAGTCAGCTGACTGACTTCCATAACTTTTATTCATATGCAATATACAATGTGTATAATGATTTTCAGCCTTAGTAAATTCATTGCATTACCTCGGTAGGAACGACAACTTCGATAGTATACCAGGGACACCTGTTCTCAGTTTCGCTTGACTGACCGCAGTTGTTTGTGTACAAAACCACTGTAATAAACTGTGAAAAAACTAGGCTTAGTAAATTCAGAGAATCTTTTTGGCTCTGGCTCTCCGTCTATTAGTGTAAATGATCAAGTGCCACCGTCTACTTCCCCCTAGAGTCACTGGATGGTATCAGTTTGATAAGAGCTCGGACACAGCTGAACTTTTGTCCTTTTCTATTTTCTATAATACAATGGTTTGAGTGAATAAAAGAATAAGACATATTTTCAGCTCTTTGTCTTTTCAATTTCCCTAGTAGCGCCAGATTGTCAGATACGATTTTAGAGGTTATATTTCCTACCAAATCAATCATAGCTGTAGATGGACAATGGAAATAGGGTACAAACACCCACTTCAATTTATAGTGATACACTTCTAGAAGAACAACTGTTAAATAAATAAAAAGAATGCATGTAACAACATTTTAATATTAGAAAATATACACAAATGGATCAACTTATAGCTTTAATTCCTTGTAAGTGAAACTGTACTCCAGTGATAAATATAAAACATGGAGATATCAATATTGAATTGAAGGTAGATATTCTCAATATACAGGAAGTAACATAAGTACGTTCAAGTGGAGTATTCCTGATACAATTTAAGAAATAGAGTCTATATGAGCTTATTGTGTCTGGAAATGCTTCATTTCTGAGATGCAGGTCGTTGAAATACAGAAAACAAATAATTTTAGGATAAACATTTCATAAAGAAAAAGTAGTTTATTTTTATGAGACCTATATACCATATACTTTGTTTTGTAAAGTTCTCAGCAACTTCACTTAGCGCCCTAGGAGCTAAGTAACATGGATCGATATAGAAAATCGAAAATATCTCCAAAACGATAACCTCCAGCTTAATAAAAGGCCCTCATAATAATTCCTTTGATACATAAATGACTATTCACTTTCCACTGTTGAATTTTGAATTTAGTCGGTACCAAAAACGCCATGGAATAATATATCACGTTGTAGTTTACTTGCTCTTGTCAGTTTCGTATTCAAATTTTCAATTTCATTATGTAATTTTGCGATCAGTTCCTCTTTTCCCATGATTATTTTGTTTTGTATTTTGTGTGATGATAATAATGGAATATTGTTCTTGAAATCGTATGCTTTATAAATTGATGGAACAGCAGATTCTCTCAAACAGATTTTGAAATCTTATGTTTGGAAGATCTAAAATATAGTTTCATTTTAATCAGATACTGTTATAAGAAGTGAATTTTAATGAGGACATTACAAATTTTCATATCTTCATTCCATAAGCGAATGGTTGATATTTGTTTTGTAAAATTGAATAAATGCAAGTAATTTCCATAACTGCTTTTTCCGGGAATGTATAATTATGAAATTCCATTTAAATTCTGATCTTTTTGAAATGTATTGTCAAATTCAATCAGTTTTGATTGAAAAAGCGCGGGACGACTATGGTGCTCTTGTCACAATCAAGGTGTGTAGCTTATTAAATCTAAACATTTAAAAACCCTAACCGTTGTCATTTCTTTGTCCGAACTCTTATCGAATTAATACCATCCAGTGACTCTACTTCCCCCTACCCCGTTTCCAGGCCAGCGGCTGTTGCAAAAGTCCTACGGCCACGACACCGGCCAGGGAGGCGGCGGGGGCGACAGTGGCAAGGAATCCGATTCCCAGCTGGAGGGCGGCGAGGTGGTCGATACCAGGACGCTGGTGCTGCAGAACGTCGACGCGGCGCACGCTTCGCAGCAGCACCTGCTGCAGCTTTGGCACCGCAAGAAACTCAAGCTCGACCAGTGCTTCCAGCTGAGGCTGTTCGAGCAGGATTGCGACAAGGTCGGTGGCTCAGAGTGACTAATTTTATATATTACCAAGTTAAAACAGTTCATTTTAAATTTCCACGGTAGTACACTATAATGTTTTTCAATTTGTGTGTGTACCAATAGTTTGTTCACATAACAGCTTGAGTTCCTGAATGTACTTGACACTACTGTTTTGGCGGTTTTTGTATATTAAAGTACAAACACTACATAAGTAGTGACAATCAAACATAACCACAAACGATTTTAAAGCAAATCATATGTTTTGCCAGACAAGGACAAGAATATGTTTCTCGCTTAGATAAAGGATCCTCTCATCTTCCTTCCTTCACAAGTCTTGGGAAGAGTACATCCATATATCTTTCTCTGTCTTTGATTTTTGTATGAGAGTGCATAGCGTCTTCTGAAGTGGGTAAAAGGGTACGATAAATTGTTATTTCTTCTCGAAATATTGAATGATGAGGCTGAAAGACCTCAAAGGAGGTCGATATCAAGTTGGTATGTATACAGGGTGTTAACAAATAAGGGTCACAACGGAAAACTGTAGATTCCTCATACTAAAAGAAACATTTCTTTTCTGTTCAAAATTGTTCTCCGGGCTTCCGTTTTCAAGATACAGGGCGTCAAAAAATCAAAAATGCTCAGTTTAATTAAACAAACTTTACAACACTTGATGAACTTAACAATTTGAAAACCAGCATCGAGACCAGCATACTCAAGAACCTGACATTTGATTGAACATATTATCAGACAGTTCTGAGGTGTTTATTTCCAGTGGATTTTTGGACGATTTTTGGAGATACCATCAGGATTTTTATGTTCTTATTCATAAAGAGCCATTTTTCGCGGAAACTGTTCACTTTAGAGCTTTGAGAGAAGAGGACGTTTTTTGTGTGAAAAATATTGGCGCTTCAGAATCTACTTTGAAAATTACAATTCCTTCAGTGGCATAAATGTTTGGGGGCTTAAACCCTTACGAGGCGATGAATTCTCCTTCACTGACATGTCCAAGGAAATTGATCAAGAGTCCTAAAAGTAGTCATAATTGATGATGAAGTGTGAACGAAGGCTTAACTCCGTAGCTCAAACGGTTCCTGATATAGTAGCAAAAAACAGATTTTTTTGTATTTTTTTGATGCCCTGTATCTTGGAAACGGAAGCCCGGAGAAAAATTCCGAAAGGGAAACATTTTTTTGTTTTTTCATTAGGAATCTACAGTTTTCCGTTGTGACACTTATTTGTTAACACCCTGTATATATACCAACGAAATACATATACTATTCCTATGAAATGAGTCTCTGTCAAGTTCAGAATGGGGTAAAAACTGATAAATTTCAACCAATGAAACATACTTTTATTTTGTATGGAACAATATCACTTGTACAAGAGTGGTAAGTAATAAGTAATCAATAAATGAACAAATAATATGGCAACAATAACAGCTCATTTCAGTTAGGATAAATAATAAAGGTTCTCCAAGACATACAGAAGTAGGCATTAATGGACTTCAGTGCTCGAGTCACTATAGTTCGCCATTCACATTGCTAAAGGGGATTGTTGGTTTGAACCCGGTCACCGGAAGATCATTTTCAATACCTAACATAAATGGTGCACTCGTTAAGCGTTCTTGTTCTGGTGCTCTGGGGATCAATTCTCTGGCAATGATTCTGCAGAGTTATACCCACCAATCGCCATTTCATTCATCAATCCGTGTTTGGCGTTTAGGATTGTCTAAGAATGCTCTCTAATGATTTATGAATGAATCACAATGTCTTATTTCATTTCTTGGAGCGCACGAAAGGAAATTCTTATGATTTCCGTAGACCATCGTCGTACCTAGGGAGGATAGGGAGAGGAGATGGGTTTTGAAATTTGTTTTGAACTGATGGAGGTTATACGTTCTTGGGAATACTTCCATTGCAAAAGATTTCCAAAGCTTTGCCATTCTATAGACGAACGAGTTTTGGTATAGTGTTGTTCGACATATTTCAAGGTTGACAATAAAAGGATGTGCTGACTGGGCCTTTCGAGTTTGTCTGACTGGTATCGCTAGTGATGGAATGGTAGCAGATATTTCTGAAGAACATATCCCGTGGAAGTATCTTGAGAAAAGTGAGAGGTCATCGACTTTTCGACGGTATTCTAATGATGTCAAAGGATTAGTGAGTGTGGCATCACCCACCAGGAGAATGGCTTTGTAGAACATGACTAGCTGTTGAGATGTAAAGTGGATTTTCGCACGGAATAACAATCCAAGCTTTTGTGAAGCAGGTTTCGCGAAGGATCGGACATGATTCTCATAGGAAAGATTATTGCTGATTCAAATACCGGAAATAATTCTCCCATGAAAGAGTATTGCTGATGGAAATACCGAACATGGATATAGTGATATTGGTTCGAAAGGTGGTACCCGACATTGATACATCAAGCATACTGAATTTCGTATTTCTAGACAAAGTACAGAATTCAACTAGGTTGTTGGTTAACAAGGCTGTAATTCATCAAGATCATCATTGACAGCGTTGGCCTTCGTCGTTAGTTCTTAGTTTCCTGGCAAGAAATGTTGTAAATGTTCCAAAAGTTCACTATGTTCCAGTTTAGACTATGTAGCGACATCTATTTTTGTTAATCAGAACCTACTGCATTGCTATCTCTTTTCCTTTGTATTTTAGGTAATAGGTAGTCAAATAAAGTTATTAAGAAGTGTCAACACGTTTATGTTTTCCCCGTACTTTCCAAAATTTTGCTCTAACAAACTGTTAATCTGTTGCCAAACTAATTAAATTTCTACAGGTTATAGGTCCAGATCGCGAAGTTTCGGGTAATTAGTAGTCCGGGAAGTGAAAGAAAATTTTTGTCGTGCCATAGTCGTGTAGTCTCATTCACCGAAACCGAAAGTAAGATGGCCGTCAATTATTTGGCGAGCGTGCCAAGACTTTTAGGTCGCGAAAATTACGATGCATGAGCATTCGCAGTCGAGAATGTATTTGTTCTGGAGAGTCTAAACAAGTGCATCGACGGTAGCAAAACCGATACAACCAGTATCGCGAAAGCTAAGGCCAAGTTGGTTCTGACGATTGACCCATCTTCGAATCCACATGTAAGAGATTCAAAGACTGCCCATGAACTATGGAATAATCTGAAGAAGAAAATCACGATGGCATGGAGTCCTATATAAACCAGATTGTCGAAACGTCTCAAAAATCATGGCGCACGGGATTTAAGATCGACGAAGAATGTGTGGGATTTTTACTGTTGGCTGGTCTACCTGACAAGTACGTCCCCATGATCATGGCCGTGGAGCATTCAGGGATCAATATTACCACAGACTCAACAAATACGAAGTTGCTTGACATGCAGACAGATGACGCTACTAGCGGCAGCAATGGTGCGTTTGCTGTGAACAGGAAATTCAAGCCAACCTTCGGGAAACCAATCAGAGATGGCGCAACAGTTACGAACGTAAGTCAGCTCGTGAGGCTGGTAATACGGGCAGTCAATGTTCTTCTGGTAATAAAAGAGACATTTGCAACATTGTGCGTTACAAGTGTGAGAAGAATGGCCATTTTATGTCAATAGCAACAGCTCTAGCATTAGATATGATGGTGGTTTCAGTGCTGTTTTCACCACGGGAGCTTTCGAAGACCCCTACTGCGGAGCCAGTGTGCATTTGACAACTAGTGAACAATTGCTGAGAAATTATAGAGATCCTGATTTGCCTGAGATTGTGGCTAACAAATCAAAAATCACTGTGGAATGTGCTGGTGATGTTGAAATCAAAACAATCACAGATAAAGAGCACAAAATACTGTTGAACGGGGTACAGTATGTTCCAGGTTTGCAAACAAATCTTCTATCTGTCAATTGATAGGTAATCAAAATATCGTATGTTTTCATGAGAATGTTTTAATGGCAACTGTTAGCCTTGAAAACAACAAACTGTATATTTGTGAAGACCGAACAGTGTGCTTTCAAACGATAAGCAGTGGTGTTTGGCATCAACGTTTAAGTCACATTAACAATAGCTATATGAGACAGTAAAGCTGGTGGATGGTCTTGTATACATATAAGGATGAGGCTAGGATTGAAAACTGCGAAGTGTGCTGTAAAGGCAAGCAATCCCGTTGCCTTTTCCCAAGGTAGGTGGTCGAGCACAGCAACTACTAGCCACTAGATCGGCCACACGTACCAGCTGACCAAGCAGCTGCAGGAGGAGCACCAGCACTTCACCATGAGCTCGATGAACGTGTTCGACAACATCAACCGCATCCTTTTCGTCTGAAAAGAGACTACTTTTTTGGAAAATTACTTGAAAATAAGATTTTATCAAAATTGTTGCTCGCGAGGATTGAATCCGAACCGCTTGAGTGACAGTCGCAAGCTTGGACCACTGTACCAAGCTCTTACTATACATCTTTCTTATGAAGAGAGAGTTGCATGCTTATTGCTGCAAAGCGAGAAGCGAAATCGTTCTGTTTGGTCTCAAGGAATCGCCTATACGTATGTTTGGGCAAAACGGATTTGTGCGTCTAACTGGAACAAGATGTGGATGTAGAAGCACGTTTCACATTGAGAAGGAGAGGGTCAAACTAACAATTTTTCAATGTAAGCTATTTCTTGTTGCTATTTAATATTCGGTTGATCTCTATATATGCGGTTATCAGATTCATGTTTGGTATTTTCATATATTCTTAGAAATTCACTTACCATTTTCTGAACGGTACGTACTGATAGAAATAGATGTGGTAAATAATCAAAAATAGTCAGGTCGGACAAAAAGATCATTTGAAGACGAACGAACCAAGCTTGCTCATCTCTAAAACGCTTACAGAAGAGTTGGAGGCTGACCTTCCGCTTTTGCTCGCGCATTTCAGATGTTCGAATGGATCTGTCACAACCGCGACGTGTTCCTCCTCAGCTACGTCGAGATCGGCCACACGTACCAGCTGGCCAAGCAGCTGCAAGAGGAGCACCAGCACTTCACCATGAGCTCGATGAACGTGTACGTCAACATCAACCGCATCCTCTCGGTCGCCTCTCGCCTGGTGGAGGGCGGGCATTACGCCGCCTCGCACATAAGGTCGGTGGCGGGCAGGTTGGACCGCTCCTGGAAGGATTTTGCTTCGGGGTAGGTTGATATTGTTTTCCCATTGACCTGACATGCCAATACTGATAGTACGAGATCCGACTCCAAGATTACTACGTTCATCTGTTATTTAATGAAAATCAAATTTTAACATATATTCATTCATGAACAGGAGAATATATTTTTTTCCACCACTAGCTATAAAACCTACCATTATTTACTCATTTTCGAGGTGTAAAGTGTGTTGTAATTAACCTGAATTCACTGTTCTGATGCGATATTCGATGAAATGGCACTCGAATCATGGTCATGACAGCTAGATTTTAATTAGAATTGAAGTAAAGTGCTTTCACAGTGACAGTACGTCCATATTTCAGTTTCGAAGAACTATAATGATTGAAATGTATTGCTAGTGGGGAAAAAAGTGTAATATACACCTTGGTAGTGAATATAATATTACCACAATACCTTATACTTCTCGGGATGTAATCTTGGTCACTGGGTAATACTTATATTCTTTACTTCCTTGGTGTATAAATAACTATTATCGGGTTGCCTATCGAAATGTGGCCGCAAGTATTTTTAATACAAATAATATTAATTGATCGTTAGACGACCACGTTGTATTGAAGTACTTAATACACAGCACTGTCTTTATTGAATCTGATGAAATTCAACTACACTCTCACTCATGTAATATTTCTGGGATGTTCAGAACGAAACAGAGATTTAATTATTTTGATCGAAATATGATGGTTGTAAATAAAATAGTATTCAAACCTGGGTAGGAAGTTTAATTCCTGTCTGGAGACGTTTTGCGTCTCGGTTAACTAACTAATCGCACGACAGTTATGAATCTCTTCCTACCTCGGTGTTTAATGTACTATTTACTACTATTATACTTTTTTTCAATCGAAACTTATAAAAATGAAATCAAGCATACAATGGGAATTCTTTTAGCATATGAAAAAATATTCAGTGTTCCTTTCAGTGCTTCTGTAGATTTGAGTGATATACATGGTCATTAAAAATAGGTGACCCCCCTTGCTAGGGTAGAACTACTACAGAAACTTTGCCTAAGAGCCATATATCAATGCACTGGGTAAAGACAGCAAAGTCAATTTTTAATAAACTCAGGTGAGTTGTAACGGGCAAAGTCGATTTTATAATCAAAGGTGGTAACCCACTTGTCTAATATACTATTAGTTTCACTGAGGTAATTCCAATCAGGTAATTACTATAGTTGATAGAAATGTTCCTCATTGAAAGAGACGGAACATCTCATTCAAGTTCGTTTTGCTCCGATGATTCCATGGTGATTACATTACAAGGAATACCGATCAGACCTCTTTGGTTAACGAGGTTTTCATTTGTCATATTGACAATGCTGCAATATTAATGTGGGTTTGGTGAATAAATAGGTAGAGTCCTTTTTTACCTCCAGGATCGGCGATGACAGAGACGTGATAAAACTGTTTGTTATGTTTGGATGTGCAGGTTGGACGAGAGAACAGCTGTTTTGGCGCTGTCTGTGATTTTCCATCATAAGGCTGAACAGTACGTTGAGAATGTGCCTTCCTGGAAGTCCACGCTAGAAAGCGGGAATATACCTTCTGATATAATGATGTTGGAGAATTCGATTCATCAGCATCAGAACCTGTACGAGTCGATGTGTCAGGCCTATACTGAGGTGATTGTTGACCTAATATTTTTTCATCCTGTTCAAAGCTAACTTCCAAAGTTACAATTTACGTAATATCTACTTGTCCAGCGATTTGTAGAAACTGTGGTCGAATGAATAAATTATTGGTCGATTGTATTGGAAATGCAATATTTCAACAAACATTACAGGAAATGACAACAGATGAATTAATAAATAAATTCCTATTCATGTAATACATATTGAATATATCTACAGACACTAGTATATAAAATAAACACATTACATTTTCTGTTCACGTTCTACAATCATTCTTCCACCTTCATCCAAATAAATAAATAATTAAATAATTGCAAACACCAACATCTCGGTGGCTGTGGAAATTCCTTTTTATTGTATTGAAATTTTATGAACAGCCATAATAAAACTTCAATTTTTTCAATATTACTCAGATACTGGAAACATTTTTGGTGAAAAAGAAAGTAGAAAAGTTCTTAGTTGTCTCCACAACTTCTCAAGCTAAATGTTTTGGTAGCACATGAGTCCATCTACAGCTTTTGCTTCAAAGATGCAAAAGTTCTTAGTAAAATGTTCTGAAGTAGATACGTTGTTACAGCATTACTCAAATAGGATAGGAGAAATATCATTTCATGCCAAATTCTGAAATGTAAGCTAATTTAAAGCAACAAATTGATGCTCATTTATTATGAGGTGGCATGTGATACTTTTCATTCCACCACAGCAATATCAATACCTCAAAATGGTAACATCTGATTCTGAATTGACAATTTCAACATTTAGTTTTAATTCACTTTAGGTTTATGACTCTTACCAATCTTTGTTGAATGGATTGGATGTGATGTTACAAGTGTGCCATAATTTACCAACGACCGTTGAAGCGAGTATGAAGGAATCCAAAATTACAAATGTATGAATGCCATTCTAAAATTGTAATCCAATTTTCGGTGGTTGGACTCTGTATCTCATCTCTTGATTTTTTCATTCAAAGAAACCACAAACTGATCTGTATTCTTCAACTATATCATGTCACAATCGTCATATTCAACCCTATACTACAACTTGGAAGTTTGTGATTTTTTTCTGCTTGTTCATTTAAATTCTAATAATACAGTATGGAGTATGGAACAAATTCGATATTTCTGTTATTTAAAAAACCTTTGAATAGGCCTATTTTATTTTTCGATCAACCCTGAATTTATTCCATTTAGCACCATACTGTATATTTCTGATGACCTGCAAGCATACTGGTGTCTCGAACTGTCAATAGCAAAAATAATATAATCAACAAACCAGTTGGCTTCATTAAAAAGTGGGGTGAATGCCAAAGTCAAAAATCACAATTTTTTCGGATAGCCCCCAAAGGCTGTGGCCTGTTCAATCGAGAATATTCGGAAAAATGTATGTGAATATAGGATATTTGAACAAATAGAAAACCTCAAGTTATGGAATTACGTTGTTTTACTCTCAATGTGGAGCTTCACGGCCAATTCTTACATCGACGAAGAAGAAGATATCGTAGGAACAGGCCAAATGGCAAGAAAAGAAGAAGTATATTTATCAGTTCTACTCTGACCTCACGTTTCAGTAGCGCAATCTGGTGGACAAAAAATAATGTTTGCCCGCTTTGTGAACATTTGGACATATCAGCATGGAAACAGATACCTTCGTTGACAATAAATTTCTAAAGATGTCGCAATATACAAATCTTAATGGAAATAAAACACGTTCTGCACTGGGTATGCTTGAAGGTTGAATTTATTTGGTAGGTAGTTCTGTTTATTGATGGTGTTGGTTTTTGGTAACAGGTTCATAGTACGAGTAAGAAACTTCTCTATCAGTTAGACCACTTGGTTCAGGTCTGCAACCAACCTGGAAAAGATAAAAATCATGTAAATATATCTCACTCATTTAATACTTATTAATGAATTAATCACTTTACATTACATCATTCTACATTAGCAATCGGCATTATGAAGATTTCACTTTTGAATAAAATATTTATGTTCACCTAGTAAGGTCATTACAAGCTCGCTACAGTAGCCAAATTATTTGGATATTTTCATGTACATTTTGTTTTTCTTGATTGACAAAAATGTTGATAACGAATGATGTAATAATGAGGTTTAGTATTTAGTCTTCACTTGAATAGAAAAGAACGTTTTGTAGGCCAATTTCATGTACTCCTTCATCAGATTTCAAGAAAGATCTAATTAAGAAATTATCTTTCATATCAATATTACTCATAATGAATGAGTATTAATTATCGTATCCAGTCATGCATCCAAATTATTCATTTAGAAAAAAACGAGTTCATAATAATTCAATTACTATTTGAAAATGGCCTACTTGACGTTGCGTGTAAAATAGAGTAATGATCACCTGGTAAACAACTTTCAATTTTCCACTAGAGTTGGTTAACTGTCTCTTATTCATGCATAGTCTTGAGTGGCGAGTTGAGAATTGAAAAAACAAAATTCCAAGAGCAATATGAACATTTTTGTGAGTTGATCTATATTGCCTCAATTCTCAACATTCCATTGAAACCGGTACTTTACTCGTTCTTTATGAATATAGGGAGAGGGAGGGAATTTCGAAAATAAACCAAGCGGGAATCCAGCGGCAGATTACAGTGAGGGTGCCAGTCATGTTTTAGCAGTTATTCACCAAATTTTGAACCATCACAGGGTGTTGGAGCAAAAATGGCATGCCAAGAAAATTAAACTACACCAACGATTGGCTCTCAGGCTGTTTCAAGAAGATGTCAAGCAGGTAAGATTATTTATGTGCAAACTTTAATCTTCGAGAAAAAATGAAAAGGTTAAAATCGTTTGGATGCTGAATATTCTGATTCATTTTCTGTCTTTACCGATTGAAATCAGTCAATAAAATGTGAATATAATTCAATTTTCTGAAATTTTACAATTTTACAAACTTGATTATGGAAGGATATGCATTATGTTTTTAGTGCCAATATGATTTTTGATTTTCCAGAAGGGTTCCAAACCAATTTCCAAAAATAACTGATTATCACACAGGGCGTTCTTTGAAATGGAGGTCAATCTGTTAACTATACAGTGTTCCTAAGATTAAGATGAACATCATGGGGATTTCGGTAACCGTAAGACTTGCACAGTAGGTCAAATGTGCAAAAAGTTGCACAATTAAGGGATCAATAAATAGATGTTGAGAAATCCCAAAAATTTTGTATACTTCCGGAGATATCCGAAAAAAAAACTAATTTGGCGAATCGGTTTCCATCTGTTCCTTATTCATATCTACTAGATGATGTTTGTTCATACACATCTTGTGCACACTGTATAATGGTATAAGCAGGTTGTACCAATATTCAATACTTTTTTCTGCAACCGACACAAAAGTCGTCCATTCCAATACCAAAATTAGTTCTTGAATTGACGTTTCTATTACTGACACATGCTGACACAAACAGGTATGTTACTAGAACACATTTACTTCCTAGGAGCTAAAGTTGATCTAAAAAGGATGCACTAGAGGTCATCAAGAATAAACAACATTGTTACGTTTGGTTATTTGGGTTGGGAGGCATACCTGATTTCGATTTGTTTCCGATTTCGGCAGATTTGGCATTTCATACCCATGGTGGAGATATAAATACACCATACTATATTTAAGTATTGTTATGATCAGGACAGCCTTCATGATTCACATACTTGCTTGATTTATATTTCATTCGTTATTCTCAGGATGGATAACTTGTTTTTGAATAATCACGGCCAGCAATAGTTTTTTGTCTCAAACGACTATATTGTTTACCTACATTCGATTATCGAGCCAAACACAGTGGAGTTTAGAGATAAATAAATAATCCCTATTTTTGTTGTTGATATGCTCACTAACCTAACATTTTCCACGTCTTCTTCCCATACTTGGCACTGGCGTGGTATTTGCTATTAGAGCACCTGGTCCATACACAATATGTCACTGTGGTTGTATTTATATTGAAACTACAATTCGAACATCCTTGAAAATTGAATAAACCTGTTGTTAATGCAGGTAGAATATTCTCACCACACGGATTATTTGTCAATATTTGTTGCATTGCATACATATGGCAAGGCATTGGTGGTTACTTCACATTTTTATTTGAGTTAATTCTTTCGGTTGCAGAAAAAATAGCATGTTTCATTCGGATCAAGAGTGACTTTGTTTGACTCGCAAATTTTGCTTCCGCTCGGCTTCGCTAGGCGCTCCGCCTCGCAAATGCAAAATTCGCTTGTCAAACAAAGTGTCACTTATTTTGACATATCCTATTGACTAAAATTTGTTTTTGAATCATGATATTGAATAATAATTTCATATAGGAATAATGGTAGTTGTAAGATTAAGAAAAATATATGGTGATCTCTTTGATAACTCTTGAATTTTTAAGGTACTGGACTGGTTGTCTAATCACGGTGAAGTGTTCATCAGAAAAAATACGGGAATCGGCAGGAATCTCCAGAAAGCGAGGGTGTACCAAAAGAGCCATGAACATTTCGAGAATGTAGCGCAGGTTAGCTGCACGATATTTTTCTCGCATGCCATGGCTATGTTCACTTTTCTGCTGATCTGAGTAATTTTCATTTCTATGAATTTTTTGTGGTGTTCGTAGATAGGCACATGTTCTTCCGTTATGAACTAACTGAAATATTTCACTAGAACTGAACTGAGCTGAATCAGTTAACATGCATTCTATGGTGTTATTAAAGTATTTTGAAAGAATGCATGTTCACTAAGTCAGTTCAGGTCTAGTGGAATATTTCAGTTTGATCAGATTGTAAGAATATCACTAATATTGTCGGTTCACTGACCCAAAATATGTCTTCCTCTCGATGGCGCTGGTTTACTGAAAAATTTCAGTAGCTTATTTGTCAATATTGGCAATTTTAGGTTGGTGTTTTCATCTTCTATTATTTTTTATAACTGTACCTAGCCAGAGGTAATTTTTATCAATAAAAACATGGAGAGAGAAAACAAGAAATACTAGGGTCCCTTGATGGAAATTGACGTTAAAGTCATCTTAACAGGGTACGGACAGATCCTCGTCTCCTCTCACTCTAAAGCGTTTGTGAAACAGTTATATAGTTCCATCCTTATTCAATTCTGGGGATAAACACTAGATTTTTGACATTCGTTGTTTTTTAGGTTATATTGAGGTCACTGGCGTATCATACGTAATTCCCATATGGAATTCCTGATTCAACTATACCAAGATATAGATGAACAATCCTCTAGTTTTAGAGTTTACTACTCCAGCATAATCTCTGCGAGGTAGGGAACATATGAATTGTACTGAAAGCTTATAATGTATTTCACCAAAAGAGACTGTTCTTAGACTGTATACCAGGGTTGACTGAATTGACTGAATGAATTCTGATTTCAAGCTGAGCAGTAGTTTTTTTATGAGCTGAATGAGTAGAGCCTTATGATTGAGAAATGGTGGAAACCTCGATGTGTGTATCTAAACTACTGCAGGTAAACTCATGTCATATTTTCGGAAATCCAACTCGGAGAAGAATTTATGGAGTTACTAATATCACACTATGTACAAAACTTCGTATAGGACGAAAAGTAGGCTGATTAAAATAAATACGTGAAATATGTAGTAAGATAAAGAAAAGAATATACTTTACTTCATTTTTTCGTCTCCCTTGAATAAAAAGTCATTTTCGAATAATTTATTGATGAAAGTAACAAAGAACTAGGTATGCGCAGTATAACTTATAGGCACGCTATTTTCACTCTTGCATCCTACATATTTTCTATTTGTGGTAGAGTAATAATTATATGAACTAATGTCTTTTGCCATATTGGATCCGTCATCTTGAATTTCCCAATTTTTACGATACAATCATCTCCTACCCCGAATACCCCCAGACACCAGTTTTAAATAGAATCGGATCTTCATTTCAAAACAATCCACCATATTGGATCCGCCATCTTCAATATCCCAATTCTGACGAAATAATTATAATCTCCGACCCCGGAAATCCCCAGATACCAATTTTGATTTTTATTGGATCCGCTATCTTGAATTTCCCAATCTTGACTAATGATAAAGTTCGACCCCGAAAACCCTCAGATATTAATCTTAAATAGAATCAGATCATAATTAGAAATTTCTTTCGCTATATATTGGATCCGTCATCTTGAATTTTCCAAGTTTGACGAAACAATCATTATCTCCAACCCCGAAAAACCCCAGATATCTTCCAATTTTTAATTGAATCGGATCATAATTACAAAACTCGTTTGCAATATGATCTTCCTCAACAAGTGAATACCCTGTACATACCTATTATTAAAATTTAGAATGATTTTCTGTAGCGCCCATGGATGTGAGGTGACAGCAGTGTCAGGGATGCCAGTAGACAAAACTGAAGTCTCTAGATCATTAAAAAAGAATGCAGCTATGATCTGTCCGTACCCTGTTAGATGACTTTAACGTCAATTTCCATCTAGGGACCCTAAGAAATACTATAGAAATAAAGTTGGTGATTTTTGATCAATGCATTCTCATGACAATCAAACAAAGGATTCAAAAATGATATTTCGTTTGTCTAAGAGGTAAAGTGTCACTAATTTATTCAATTAAATTCTAGAAGACATAATGTGATGCTATATTTGAATCACTTGTTAGAATCTGTTATGAATTTGCTTAGTCAAGAGTATGGTCAAGAACTGCCAAGTTTTTTGATTTTCTGTTGCAGAAATAAAAACGAAACTCATTCCAACATTTTGTTCAAACAAAGGTGGATATATGTATGGTGAAATAGCTCCCTCTCACAAAACCCTAGACATTTTTGTAGACCTCTGGCCTACTTGATTATGTCGAATTCTATCACCGTAGTAAGGCCGCGCAAAACTAACGCTAGATGGCGCTGTTCCCGAAGTGATCTTGCTACACAATGGTTGTTTTGTTTTGTTGTTTACATTTACGTATATTAATTCGTAATTTAAAAACATTGAGAAAAAGTGATTGATTTAATGAAAAAGACGTGAAATTTTCATTATATCTGTGAAGTATATGTGGCACGATGTTCCCTACGCCATCTACAGTCAATCCGGTGCGGCCTTGCTACGGTGTTCCGCGGTCTACACGTTTTGGAAAGAAACAATTGACAAGTGGTTACACCAGTCTATTTTCATCATGGTTCAAACCATTAATCATTTTAAAAATGCACAACTGTTTATATCATACAGCTGGTATAATGTCGACTTCTGAAACTCATTATTCTAAAATACAGTTGATATTTCCTGGAATATACCTGACTATACTTGAACACAAGTGGTACCCTCTGGAAAGAACTTTTTTTTTTAAATAAAACTTGAGAAGAGCAGAAGAGAATGTTGAGCAAACAACCTCAATTATACCTAGTTTGTTTTGTTTTTTCGATTCGCGCTGAATCATTTGATGGAGCATTTCAAAAATATTTTAAACATTCAATAAAATATAGGGTGTCCTATACAATGAACAACATTTTCTGGGAAATGTGGGAAAAACATCTCATCTCATGCAAGTGAATAGCCCCATTAGCTGATGCCTCTACTAATGTTTTTCCACTAGAAGGTGAACCAACTGAAAGATAATGCTTTAGCAGATTTTTTCTGTTTCCACTCATTTTTCCTGTGTGCTTACTTCCTTCTTCCGCACGTCTTGTAGTTGCTTCCACGGTCGTATAAATGGTATAAATCAAATTTGACCATTGTGATCTATTTGGCGTATTTACTTCAATAGATGGTTTCTCATGAGAAAGTTCCTTTTGCCAAATGTATAAGTTAGGCAAGTCAATACTGAAACATCACACCCATGAACATGAGCCCTGCTACTTGAGGACAAGGGTAAGCGGCTGCCCCCTGGGATTTTAGCCTTTTCAGTTTGAACTTTAACGGCAGAAATATGAAATACCTGCTAAGATAATTTCTTCATAAAAATCAATAGGCTTTCAAAAAATTTTACTAACCTACTTAACCAACTTTATATCCTTCAGCCCCCTCCCAGAAATTTTTAGTGGCGCTGCTCATGCCCATAAATATAATATTAGCAAAACATCTAGCTTTTTTTCAAATTATTTTGTGTATTAGTATGTTCATGCTTATAGTTATGGGACTAGACAATTGAATTACTTGATAGCAAATACATTCAAGTCAAACATTGGCAAACAATTTGTATTTCACAATGGAAAAATTTCGTACAATTCCTTACCAAATGAGTTGTAGATCTATGGTTATAGTATATTTATCACCCACGAAGATGAAAGTTGCAGTACGAGCCGAAGGTGGGTGCTGTAATCATTTGAGTGGGTCATAGTCATTATGTGCGAGTAGAATACTATACTTCATCTACAACAATTCAAATATCAAAGCAACTCTGAGAGTTCAGAAATATATCTTTGGAAATAATGAAGGTTATTATATTGCAAAATCACTAAATCTGATTTGAGATACTCATTAATTTTATCGAAAACTTATCGACAGAAATTCCAATCAACGAACAGCTTATAACTTATTTCAATAATTTTGATTGTGATAATATGATGAACAATGTTGGATCTAACTTTTATTATCAGTTATCACATATCAGTCAATCTTACCAGGTATTATATGCCATTCCACTTTTCAGTTGTAAAATGAATCATACTATTGCAGATTATTCATTAACTTGCTTCCGCTGTAGCGTTCTCCCACTGCGATGATTAATTGTAGTACCCTGTCTCTAGACGCTATTTATCAACAATGAAGTTCCATGGTTCTGATTGGTCTGTACTAATCTATTCGAATAGCCCGCACATAAGTGTTAGCCGATCTGCAACTGTCAAGTCCTATTTTATGATTATGGTTACTCATGATAGTAGTCACTGTTGAGATTGAAAAACAGAGAATTCTCATTTTTCCGTGTATTTGTAGAATTGAGGTGATTAAAACTATGAGAACCATGTGAGGTGAGTCTTTTGAATTTGCAATTTGCGTGTATTTCACAAACAGTAGTATAGTGGTGTGCTTTAGTAGAACTAGTAGAACGAATACCTACCTAGTTGAATTTGACAAGACGATGGGATGTCAGATTATTACGCCCAACTGTCATTATTACTCTTATTACTCGATTCCTCATAATAATGTCTTTCATTAAATGTTGAAAATCGAGTTAGCAATGTATGAATGACTCCATAGTTGTAGATAAAAAATATACATGATACAAGAAGGTTCAAAATCAATCTTAAAAAATTCTTGCAGGACAATTTGGATGAAAAATATGTGGCATGATTTGAACTCAGAAATTGATTGGTATAACTTTCATCTTAAGAAACAATATTAATTTGTTTCCACTGAGTGGAATTCATTAATTAACATTTTGTTATATTTTTTCATGTATTCATGTATCCCCATTATAAACAGAAATGTTTCTTGGGGTAATAAACAAACAATCAATCAAATTTCTCAAAATTTATGCGAATCACAAAATATGAAACTTTCAATAGAATTGGACGTTCATAGTCATGCGACAAAATTTGCAGTAGGTTAGGGTTCTGTTGTCATATACAGGGTGAGTCATAACTATTGGGATATGGGCTGAGTCGGATTAAGTGGACCAAAATATGGCGATTGGACCAAATATGCCTCAATGAAATATTGCTGTGGAAAAAGATTTAAGACTATTCAATCGGAAAAAAATTGACTATGAACTCGCACCAAAATTCACTCACTGACAAGAAATGTGATTCACCAGCAACAATTTTCTGACAGTCCAAAGCACACAAATGAAATAATATCTCAAATCTCTTTCTGAGACTGTTCAATTGCGTTTCTCTCGAAAACGGATGAAAATATTGTTTCCAAACAGGATTACCAATATTACGTTGAAATTATGTTTGTCATATTTCCTGATCAAAATATCTAAAATTTTCGTCAAAAAAAGTTTTCAGTCGATTTCATCATCAGGAATTATTCACGTGGTGCCCCCTGTAACAAACTGTAAAATAAAAAAAAATATTCCATGTATAAAATTATGTCTCTGTGCCGATTTTGATAACAATTGATGAATGAACAGTGAAGTTATTAGCAAAAAACGAAAAAAATATTCAGCTTCAACGCACTGTATCTTTTCCCACAGCAATATTTTATAAAGGCATACCTATTCGGTCATAAGGCCATTTTTTGGTCTAAACAATATACCCTTAGCCTATGTTTCAATAGTTATTGTAAAGTTTTTTTTATTTCTGGTCCCACCATTGAAAGAATTTCATCAAATTGACGGCATGTTACAAGAAAGTAATTGAAATATTAATTAGGTTCATTCAGTCGCATTTCTCGAACGAGGCTGTAATAATCGGCATTCAAAATTGCTCCAGAGAATCCATCCTGCGAAAAAAATGTAATCAAATGAAGAATAAATGGTTAATCTTATTATAATTGTGTGTCTACCTCAAGTCTAGTGTCTAGTATTTTTTAGGCCTCTGCTGTCCGCTCCTTAATTCCTCAACATCATATTTTATATGCATACATGTGGTTATGATTCCATCCAAATTCGTAAAAAGTTCAAATATTTCACTTCATAGCGATATTTTCAGCCGCCCTTTTATTCGCATAAATTTTGTTAAATTCGTACAAGCATGAACCTACACCTTGAATCCTATCGTTTGTGGAATTTTTACAATAACTATGGATTTTCCTCAAAAAACGACCCAGCCAGTTCAAAAATAAATCCTGTATGTTATCACCCCGGTGTTTTCGTTTCCAGAACACCTACACGAATGCCGATAAACTGCTCGCCGCTGCCGAGGAACTGGCGCACACCGGCGAATGTGACCCGGACGAGATTTACTCGGTGGCGCACGAATTGGAGGCTCACGTGACGTCATTCGCCGCTAGAGTCGAGCAAAGGAGGCGTCGGCTCGATTTGGCTGTGCTGTTCTATACACATGAGAAGGATTTGGCCAATTGGGTGGACGAGTTGAGGCAGGAGTTGCAGGTTGGAATTTGTTCTCGTTGGAATTTAGAGGGAAACTAACAAGTCTACAAAAAATTAACTAGTAGCGGGTCCTCGACAATGATTGAAAACCACGTGACAGATTACTATGCAACCAAGAATATATTCGTATCTCTTTGACGTGGGTGGAAAAGAGATGCTGCATCAAATATGGTCACGTGGCACTCAATCATTGTTCAGGACCCGGTAGAATTAGGGAGCAGTGATGATATTTCACATATATATACGAAATATTCAATGAACAATCACTCACTGAACATTAATGAAATGAAAAAAGTATTTTTTCTGTGACGGGGAAGTAGTTTGACATTTTATCCCTGTTGACAGGTTATGAAATGTCACTTTTCCGCTACGAGACAACACAACCGGGAGCTAAAATCTACTTTTTCCTTTGTATAATAAATAACTATTACTTATGCAGGAACAAATTTAGGTGAACTACCCAATAGTGAATAGAAAATCAGTTCTCAGACTTAAGATACAAAGAGGTTGATTCCATGATTTGTGAAAGGTGAACAAAATATAGTAGTGAATGAATCATGATTTCCAGTGATTTGAATTGCAAAAAATTTGAAAATTCCAACTATCTATATGTTAGTTGAAAATGATTTCTTTTTTTCTTTTTCAGTGTGATGAAAGTGTGGCAGAAAGTCTGGAAGCGACTGAACGGTTAATTGAACAAACTGTACAACATCGTCAACAAGGTTTAGATGTTTGTTCTTCAACAATAGCTCAAGGGGAAGCTCTCCTCCAAGAAATTAGGTAAATCAGGGAGTTTATATGTACAGCGTCTACTGGAGAACGTGATCTAGAGAGATATTTAATTGATAAGCTCTCTCTCTCTCTCTCTCTCTCTCTCTGCCTCCCTCTCGCGATCGTTCCGATGACATTTAAAACTACGGGAAAACATGTCTAACTCTCAATCTATTCCAGGAGTTAGGATGTCATCTATTGACCTTGGCGACCGCGAATTGTCAAAGCAATTTGTTTCTTGCATAACACAAAGAAAATTTTCAAGGCCTGGTATCAGTAGATAAGAAAATTTATTGCACAAAATGATAGATCAATACACTGATGTTGGAAGGTATTTACATACCACAATCATGGTATTTGATCTCATGTTCGTGATATATTGCGCGTAACTAGGAAGGATAAAAAGAGGAGGTAGGTGTGTGATTTTGTTTTCGAACTTTTGGAGGTAATAAGTTCTTGAGAATACTTCCATTGGCAAAGAATTCCAAAGCATCTTATCTGCTTTCATCCAGCTAGTACAAATCTATTGCGATTTTTCTATGTTTGTCGGTATGTTTGTGTATCAAGGAGAGGGTTGGAATCTGGAAGATTTGAGACTGGAGAGTCGAGGAGGTACTTCTCTGATTTCGATCCAATGGCGCGTAACACGAGTTGTTGCTACCTGTGAAAGCTCCAGCTGCTTGGCATCCACTGTTACTCCAGGTAGTCTTGAGTGCTGCTCTGTATCCATTGTGAAGAACTCTGCGGTCGAAGGTTGATTTGAATAGATCCGACTCGAAGGACCAGTATGTCCGATGCTTGCTAGATAGTGGACTGTATTTGTTTGGATATGATGATGAAATAGAGATTGATATGAGAATTGCAATTCGGATTGCACAATCCTTATTTATTTATTGATTATATTCATAAATCTTATGTTTCAACAACACGTCATCATGTTAACATCAACTGAACATATTTTATACTGTATAGGTTAATACAAGTACCAAACTATTATATAGGGTCCTACAAGTACTAAACAATTGATTTTATTTGAATTAAATTCGCGTATAATTGCAGTACAGTCTGTATAATATTTCTTTGCGTGTGTCTGAAATTAGCATAGACCTACGCGCAACTTGCTATCCTCTTCAGACTTGCATATAGAGCAGCAATGTCTATCATGACGTTTGTTGACATAAGTTACGACATCGTTTTTGAACTCGACGAGTTAAAAGCTTGAATACAGAGGTGTTCGTATGTCGAGACACATTTGAATCGGCTAATTCAGAGGCGTGCAGTAGGTGCTGAAATGACATCGTTCTGCGTGACCATTGTCAAATATTCAACATGCCAGGAAGACGTTTGAATTCACAAGCACGAAGTCTTGTATCGAATTTGTTACAACTCTTCACAAGAGAAAAAGATAATAATGGTCCTTCAATCCCGTTTACTTCCATACAACAGGTAAATCATAATTCTTCCTGATCAATAATAAAAATAGTCAGACCTTACTTCAAGAATATCATCATGATGTACATAATTTTAGCGTGTCGCTGATGCCCTCAATATCAATCTGCGGACAGTTTCGAGTATTAAAGTACGTTCTGAGAGAAACGAAAGTTTGAGTACGCCAGGGAAATCTAGGACTAAAAAACCCAAGACAGTAGATCTGGATGATAATTTGAAAATGGATGTACGCAATGTGATCTATACTATGTATGCAGAAAGTAAGTGATTTCATTTGACACTTCTAGACTACCTTCAACTGACTATTTTACAGGAAAACACATCACTTAGGATTTTGATAGAAGAACTCAGAACTAAGCATATTCTTGATGCAAGTATAGGCACATTGAGCAAACTTCTCACAAATGTAGGATTCAATAAAAAAAAAAGAAGACAACAGACGGTTATTGATTGAGAAGACGGACATATCTCAAATGAGAGCAGAGTTTTTCAGAAAGTTTTATTAAAATCGCAATTCTAGTTTTCCTAGATCATGGCAAGATCAAAGTACAAAAAGCATTCGTAAACCAGAAGGTTATTATGGGAAACGATTAATTGTACTTCATGCTGGCCATAGTGGTGGTTTTGTGGAAAATGCTGCATGGTATTATACCAAATACCTAAAACGACTCAACAGTGTTCGGCTTTACCACGATCACAGAATACCTCACAAAAGCATTAAATTGGAGTGTATATTGGGTCATATACCAACCCATAGGTATATACATGCCAAAATTCTGATACATGTTTTTGCCTTCAATAAATTGACGAATTAAAGAGTTGAAACTTGAAATATATACCAATCCTATGTTTTATCGAATGTTTCTCAGTCAAAATTACCAGGAGTAGTGAATACAAATTTTCTAAATATTATTATTCATTTTAACCCAATTTCTGAAACAGCACGGCACTGCTTCACTGGAACATATGACCTTGAATTGATTTGATTAGTTTTTTGAAGTTGTGACGTACCTACGCGCAAAGAAATATTATACAGACTATAGGCGACTGAGATTAAGATCGTAGCGCCAGAACGGCGAATGTCGGTACTACTCTATGGGCCATTGGCGGATTGTTTACATTGTTTGGTAATGGTGTTTATGTTCATTTCGTTTTGAGTTTTCAAACGTCCAGCTTTGTTATTTGTCTATTTTCGAACTTTGTATTTTCCAGCGGTCTACTGTGTTTTGATTGAGGACTATATTATCTCTGTTCAACATTAGATAACCTCCATACCTCTAGTTGAACTTCATATATACCAACATGCATAGGCTGTAAGTTTTTATCATTATTGAACAAGAATTCTCATGAAAACCTGTGTGGAATGTTGATTTCCAATTCGAATATATATAGCTGGGATATTCCCCTGATATAGTGCATGATATTTTCAAAACAAAATCCAGCAAACTTTTTGGGAATAAAGTGTTCTTTGGAAGGTGAATTCAGGTAAACAGTTTCTACTTGACTTTTTACAACATAATCATCGAAACCCTGATTGATAACATTCTTCACTGTTTAAAAATTCTACTGTTCATGAGTAAAGATATAATCAGTTTGAAATTTGTTTGTTCTTTTACCACCACCTCAAGAAGTAGGTATTATACCTATTCATAATAGACATACATTTGAAAATATACCTATAGGTATGAGTACATTTTCAGTGAAATGTAAAGAACAATATCTCATTATGTTCAGACACTTTACACTTTTTCCAATCTTCAAGTTATGAATCCACACCTTTCTCCTACCAATCACTTCCTTGTTTCCCAAATTATTAGTTTCAAATACAAATGACTGTCCTGATTTATGAAAGGAATGAAAGCTATACTCGGGATTTTTTCTTGCTCAAGATGAACAATGAGGTACACAACAATGATGACTCATGTTTTTAAACGTTTATAGAAGTTCTCAAACAAAATTATAGACAATTAAAACACAACTACTTCTCATACAAAATACACGCAAACTAATGTAAACAAAGCAATCAATGGCCCATACGTTAGTTATATTAGACAACGGTAGAGGGAGTACTCCTTAGCATGAATCGCCTATATCACATGCGTCCCACATAGATGAATCTGTCTGTTTCCTCTAGATCAATCTCGGAGCTGGACTCGACCGGTTCGGTGTCGGCGGTCGAGGCGGCCCTGGATCGGCTCGCTAAACAGCGCAACGACATCGAGGAGCTGTGGTCGGCGCGCAAAATGCGGCTGGACCTGTGCCTGCGGCTGCGGCTGTTCGAGCGGGACGCGCTGGAGGTGTCCTCGCAGCTGGAGATGTGGTCGGAGGAGTTGCAGCACAGCGAGCTGACCAGGGACATCGCCAAGGCCGAGCAGTTTTTGAGGTATAGTGTATCCAAAGTCAGTTGGACTGCCTCGATCAAGGAATGTCCGCCACGAGCATAGACTTTAAAGGAAGCTTCATCGCTCTGCGTATGTTTTTTGCTCGGAGTGCTCCAATTGAGTTTCGATACCAATATGCAGGTTGTGAATTTTAGTTGACAAAGTGTCAATAGTCGAGTGGACTTATTTTTTTATTCTTCAAATAGAAGCATCACTCAAAGATCTTTCAATTTTAATGTTCTTTGGAATCGTTGGTCGATTTTAAGGTGCTAAAATCATCAATAATGCCACGGTAATTTTCAAACGGCTAGAAATTTACCGCGAGTAAAATTGACGTCACGATTTCGTAAGTTGGGGCAGACCATAGTACAGTTGCCATATGTTGAAATACGATTGGGAACTTCAGAAATATTAGTTATTCAATAATTCATAAATTCTCAATTATGTATTGGTAATTAGCAATATAAAATCAATTGTCCCAAAATGTTTCCTCATGTGTTATGGAGAATTGCTTATAATACATAAATTTGTGTAAATTATCATTATATTAATTCACTCTAGAGGACATTTGAACTGTTGTTGAATTTCTGAGCTCATTTCAAAAGTGCCGTTACGGCCACCATTGTGAATTCACCAATTATAATCAAGTTATCAAAAAGTTGTCGTGTCCCGTCGGTGAACAAAACTACATACAAATTATATATTTCATTTAACCTGAAAGAAGGAAGCCATGATATTTTAGTAATTCATTTGTGACTTCTTCGAGTAACCAGCTTGTTGAAAAATTTCTTATACTCCATGACAAACCATAATGTAAATGTTGGTTAGGGACTTGGCAATGCTGCGCTGAATGCTGAGAACTGTCAAGACAACTCCTACAATCTGTGTTGTCACGTTTACCGTACCAAATGTCCTCTAGTGTGAATTACTAGGAATTAATATGACTATTATCATTCACACAAATTCATCATAACCAGTAAGCCACAACACAATATAAGAGGGAACAATTTGAGACAATGGAATTTTTTATCACCGTGGCATTATTGATGATTTTAGCACCTTAAAATCGACCCAGAAAATCCAAAGAAATATGGAATTGAAAGGAAGTTGAATAATGGATTCTATTTAAAAAATGAAAAAAATAGTCCACTTGCCTATTTTGGGAAATATTTTCATTTTAAGAATCCATAAAATTACCATGTTTTTATAAAAGTTCAACTGTCATTTCAGTTTCTTATCGACACCCACAACGAAGATTATCGTAACTCATTTTCTTAACAACTGAGAAATATGCATTCAAAGTTTCTATGCTGTTCAGGGTGATGAAAAATGATGATATCCAGATGGAATATCACTTCCACTGCTTTGGAAATTGAGTTCTTCAAAGATAAGAAGCTGATTACTGTTCAAAACTCAGGAATAAAATTGCCAGTTTTTTTTTCTGTCATTGAGTTACTATAATTTTCGCTGGAATGAATTAGCAAAAAAACAAACAACTCTACTTTCAATGCAACATTTATTGCTAAAACAAGATTCAAAACTGATAAGTGATAATATTATAAAAAGAAAATCCCTATCTGCATGATCTATATTCCGACACACTGGAAGAGCTTGTCCTAGTTGTTTCCTGCTTCTAGCAATGTAATCCCACTGTCTTGTAAGGTTTCCAATTTCCCAAAATGCCTGGAATACTGCACTTCTATTCTCCTTTGTCAGCTTCGTACCACATCTCTTTCTGTATTCTTGTCTACAAGCATCTTTCATAACCTTTGCTGGAATAACCTTTTCGATTCTTGTCTTCTAATCCTAAATTGTGTTCTCTTTCTGCCTTTTTATCAATAAATTCATTTCCATTTCGAGTGCGTTTTCTTCCTTCCTTTTCTTTAATAGATATTTTACGTTTCTGTGCAATTTTTCCTCTAGGCTCAGAATGCTTGTCTCCACCAGATGACTTGGATAATACTCCGGTAGGTACGCAGTTTGGGTAGTCAATGAATCAGATGATTGGTGCCAATTTTCTATGTCATCATCTATAGTATTTTGTTCTCTCAAAACTGTACTTGGACATGATGTTTCATCGTTCTTTGGTGCAATGGTTGCTTCAGATGTCAACAGGTCAACAGAACAAGCAGTACTTGTACTCGGTTTTACGACTATAAGAGACAAAATTATCATTGAACCACCTTACATTTCAAAGTAAATAATATCACAAACTCTAAGTAAAGCTTTGTGTCCAAGAGTAACCATTCGAAGATCGACAACAAACTTTCGATTCTTGTGATGGACAGCTCTTGAAAATATAGCAAAAAATCTAGAAAAACATAATTTCTTTATACTTACCTACTTGATTCCAACCGGATATTCGATTCATTGTCGTTCTTAAAACATTGTTCCGCATTCTTCAGGATCAATTTGGTACGTTTACTCATTCCTTCTATTGTTTTAAAGTTTTAAGTCAATTTCTGTATAGGATACCTTCTCAAAACTGCGACAGAAACCAACACATAACATCAATCTCACCGACGAAAGCTATATCCTTTCGCCATATCTTGCAACGAAAACTATTGTAACTGAACATAACATTATTTTTGCTGCACGGAACCAGTGATTTAAGTTACTATATATTCTGAAATACATTACTGGTTGCCTAACCGTTTCATATTGATATACCAGAGTATTCGTACGTGTAGATATGTGGAAAAACTACGCATCCCATATATTAACTCAAAATCACCATTTTTTGAGTTACGATAGTTTTCGTTGTAGGTGTCGTTATGTAACAATAATGATTCATTTGGTTGGTCATGATATTCGTGTAATTGTGTACAATATTTTGTTGATATGAAGCACCAACAAATAAATTAAAACAAATACATAAATTCAATTAATTTCAGGTTACACAATGATAGTGTTGGACAAATGCAGAATACAATTTATCAGGTTTTGCAGCAAGGACAAGAGTTGGTGCAGGTCTTCGAGAATTCTGGAATATGCGTGATGGCTGATGCGCAATATAATGCTCAGACAAGGGTAAGTAGCTATGTAGACTTTGAGTAATCATTTTTTGTCAAATAAATAATTGATTTTTTTGGATATTTCCACGTGACTTTTATTTCTGTGTCTCATCATCTAAGTACTCTCTAAGTATATTCACCAAATGTAAATATTGCTAACGTTGAATTGTTAAAATAGTATATTTTTTGTATATTTGCCACGGACCTGAACCATATAAACCTGCCGGTTGTTTTGTTTCCTGGGGGAAAATTAAAGTCACTTCAGTATACTAACTTTTGTTTTTTCTGAAATATTATCAAAGGAAATACCACGAGTATTTTGAAGGTCATACTTTCTCGAATGTGAAAAAAGTGTGATCATCTTAGGAACACTTACGAGCCGTTGTTATAATTTATTTTTCTTTATTAATCTCAAAGAGCTAGTACAAGTTTATGAAATAGCAGTCTGCAGTAGTCTACTAACTCATACATTGTCATTTCCAGTATCGTAAAAATTTACCCCTTTTCACTATAATGTTATTAAGGGGAGTCAAAAACGTTATCCCTACCACATATTTATCGAAAATACATCGACAAATGATGTTTTTTTATTTTTTGGATGTATGACAAATTTATATTCATCATACAGGACGCGAAAAAGAAAAATCAATGCCTATGAATTCAAATGCTACTGAGATGTGATGTCAGTGTCTTTTTGTAATTTTATTGATTGGAGTTGTAGCGGCAAGATGGTGCAAGGTGCAAGGAATGTCATGATTCGAAATTACTATGTAGTACATGATTAGTTGATTGGTTATTAAGTGCTGATCACATTTAATTCACTATGAACTTCGTAATATTCCATTAGTTTCAAGATTATCTAGGATGAAATGTGATGCAGGCATCTAGCAGTAATACGCTTTATATATATAGTTTGATTTTTGTTATGATGTTGATATTTCGTTGAATGATTGTTATAATCAACAAATTGAACAGTATTACTATATCTGAAGTACTCATTCCCAGAAAATTTCATTGCTAATCTGGCAACTATGTCTACAAAAAAGAAAGAGATAAAGCAATTGGCGCTTACACAATGTTGCCAAGTTAAGAAGATCTCATCATTCCCCGCATAACTTCACCCTTCTCATTTCTCAATATTATTGACAAGAAGGAAGTAATGCTTGTATTGAAATCAATAGAAATAGAGCCAAGTAAGCAATTTAATATGTCATGAGTATATGCGCTGTTATACAATACAAAATGAAATATCACCTACGATTTGGAACAATCAATCCACCTACAGAAATCAACCATCTAACTAATTATGCAATGCCATTTTTTAGTACCACGAATTTTCAGGTAGGTAAGTAGTTTTATTTGAGTTATCTAACAGCTCTGTACTATTTGCTGAAATAAAAAAATCGAGAGATGAATATCGGACTAATCATAGCTTTCTGTCCAAATTGGCAACATTGTCAAGTCCACTGTGTATTTAACTGGCACCCAAGAAAAAGTCGGGGTATTACCAATCCAAATTGCTCGCGCACTGACGTCACACGTTTGGCGGCCATGTGTGATCGTTTGGAATCGCTCGGTCGATTTGGCGTTTTCAATAATTTTTTATACAATGAATTGATGGGAAAAATCTGAAAATATTATTTTAGGGTATTTCAGTCATATGTTTTGATATCTATTTTTTCTAGAAATGACTTGGATGGCCCATTGTAATGCTACTTTCCAAGTTCTCATGCAGAGCAGCATTTTTGCGGATAATTTCAAATAGTATTAACTGATATTGGAGAATTGAAAGCTCGTTTACCATTATATTAAGAAGCGTCATAAAAGTGTTCATACATTGCCGGTTTTTTGATCCACTGTCACATAGTGTAGTTATGTTCCACTTAAGAACTAAGCGAATAGTGGGATAAGGAGTGGTTGACCTCGCTTCTCATCGCTCGTAACGCTAGCCCAGTTGACAACATTGAAATATAAAATTGCATCACCACTAAACTCTGCATTCATTAACAAATATTTTCATTTCGCGATCTTATTAGTGTATGCATTGTTGTTCTAAATGAAAACCTTTTTAGTAGACGAGAGTTCATTGAAAAAAATTGCAAAAATCGCACTTATTGCCCACATTTTCGGTAAGCTAGTGACCTCTTTTATGAACTAAGTTATTCATTTGTTATCCTAACCCTAGAAAATTCCATTCAAATTCCTGTCAAGATCCACTTTTCTGTCGAGTTAATAATCAAAAATTTCCCAAACATTTCAAGTACTTACACAAATAAGGAAAGCAGGATGCATATAGAAGACACTGTTTATGCAATGATAAAATTCTCAAATTCTTGATATTATTTGAATTTGAGAAGCAAAATCATCAGTGCTGTGATAAAACATCACTTTAATATTGTTAATTATAACTAACTATATTATCTTTATTCCTGGAATATCAATCAATTATCATATATATAAATAAATTATACCTATGTGGCTAAAAAAAAAACTCTTACCTGATGTTGCTGGAAGATATTGCATGTTGCCTCGGATTCACGTCATCGTTGATACCTTTTGTAAAAGTGCAAAATGGAACACCAAAAGTCAATACAGTAATTTGCCTGAGATGATGTTTTTAAAAACTTCAACCAAAAGTTGTCCATTTTGGCAAATATTCTATTGGAACATTTGAGCTCTCGATGATCTCGATATACTAGCACCATTGAAAATTTTGGATCAATGAACAGACACTATTAAGGTATGGTTAGGGCATAACTAATATAGATTTATTAATGAGATATTGCTTCTACTTCGGATGATTTTATGAATAGTACCTAGTTTTCAATTACTGTTCTTTATATTAAAATTTACCCAGTACATAGTTTTGTTAGAAATTTGTCAAACTTATGACTTTGACATCATTTTCAATTTCCAACTAATCACTAATTCCAGGTGCAAGTTTTGTTGGAATTTCTGCACGACAGAGAGCTGGACCTCGAAGACCTGGCCGAAATGAAGCGGCTGAAGCTCGAGCAGTGCATCCAGCTCAGCCAGTTCCAGAACGACGCCAACCAGGTGATCAGCTGGATCAGAAACGGGGAGTCGATGCTGATGGCCAGCTTCACGATCCCGAACAGCTTGTCCGATGCCGAGGTGTTGAAGAAGGAGCACGAGCAGTTTCAGGTGGCCATCGAAAAGACGCATACGTCTGCGGTACAGGTAGGACTTCTAAAATATTTTTCTACTCTCTTATACATGAGTCATGAATGCGTATATTATGGTTCTTTTCATTCTACCACAGTAGAGACCCTTACAGAAAACAGTAATTTTGCTCCTGTGGGAACGTTTGATGTTGGTATCCACAAGTTTTATTGTTTGCCAAACCAGTGCGCATACCACCACGGACAGACTTACGCGTTACGGGCTTGGATGAGTGATTGGCAAAGTCAATGACGACTCGCTTGTCATCACTGAGGTATGCTGTGAAGTCCATGAATTTTATGTGAAAAGTTCTGGCTTTAAATAAAGGAATAAATAGCCTATCTCTTACCACTCGTAAAAACATAGAAATTTAGATTATGATTTTTTTTTCGAATGAACACACTGAGAATCAATCAATCAATCAAAAATATACTTTATCGTCAAAGAAACACATTCTTGTGAGCATGATAAATAAATAAATAAATACAATAAATTAAGTGAAATGAAAAATTTCACAGCCAAGGTTATTTATTTATTTATTTATTTCAGTTATTGCATTACATTCTTTTCTTCATTGATACATTTCATACAAATAATATATAAAGTATAATTAATTTTCTAGTAGGAATGACATGAATGATCAGACAGTAATTCCTGGTATAAGATCATTCATGAAGTATTATCGACTGTTGTATAATTGAAATTACAAATAGTGAACAAAACTTACATATCATTAAGATACAGTCATATTATAGTGAACGATAAGGGGAAAAATAAAAACAGAGTGAAGAAAAGAAAAAAAAAGAAAAAAGGAAATTCATGGTCTTTCAGCTTTGATCATTCCTTTGCATATAAATATATTTCTTAACTTTATTTTTGAATTGCATAATATTTGGGCTGTTTTTGATATCATCTGGTAATTTATTGAATTTCGAAATCGCCTCATGTGTAAACTTTTTTTGCCCAAGTTTAGAATTTGCAGCTTCAAGATGAAACAAGTTATATTGTCTAGTGTGATGATCATGAATTTCAGAATTCCTGATTAATATAAAATTTGATTTAAGCTTTTTGTTGATGATATAATAGGAAATTTTGAGAGTATTGATTAAAAAGTGCTCTTCCAAAGAAAATGTGTTTGTTTCCTTATACAGTTGATTCGTTGGAGTGTCATATGGAAGACGATACAATACTTTCAATGCCTTTTTATATAGAACAGAAATTTTGTTGAAACTATTTTTGGAACAAGATCCCCAAATATTTATGAGATAGTTAATTCGACTGAGTATATGTGAATAGAGAATGATATTTGATGTATATGTACTAAGTTTAGGACATCTTCTCAAAGCACCAATAATGGGAGATACTTTTCCTATGAGGATGTCAATATGCTTTCCCCATGTTAATTTCTCATCAATCCAAATACCAAGGTATTTGGTATGGGCAGTTTGTTTCAAACGTTCATTTTTTATTCTGATATTCAGATCAATATTTTGTTTATTTCTTTGACGAAAAATCATATATTGAGTCTTATTAGAATTGAGAGAAAGAAGATTGGAATAAAGCCATTTCTCAATTTTTTTCAAGTCCTCATTTATGATATGTTCTAGAACTACTGGGTTTTTATTCTCATATAGAAGCACTGTATCGTCTGCATATATGGTATAGTTTCCTATCAAATTCATTCTTTCAATATTTTGAATGTATAATAGATAAAGAATTGGACCCAACACTGATCCTTGAGGAACCCCTTTGTTTAAATATAGTATTTTAGACTCACAGTTATTAATTTTAGTTATAATCGTTCTATTTTCAAGATATGATTTCAAGAGATCGTGTCCAATTCCTCTGATTCCCATTGAAGCCAGGTTTTTCAGAAGTATATTGTGGTCAACTGTATCAAAAGCCTTTTTTAGATCCATGAAAATCGCTACTACATAATTTCCTTTGTCAAGTCTGTCCTGAATGAAATTGATTACTTGTAGCACAGCAGATTGTGTACCACTGTTTTCTTGAAATCCGAATTGGTTCAAATCGAATCCATATTTTTTATTGATAAAATCTACAATTCTTTTTTTGAGAATTTTTTCTAGAATTTTGGAGAAAATACTTAATAATGCTATTGGCCTATAATTTACTGGATTTTGAGCATCACCACTTTTATATATAGCCCGTAAAGAGGTATTTTTCAATTCATCTGGAAAAATACCTGTTGTGAAAGATATATTGATTAATTTTGTTAGTGGTTTGGCCAAAATATTTTTCAATTCTATTATATCTCGTGTAATCAAACCTTCTGGATCAGGACATTTTTTTTTAAGAGTGCTAATTGTATTTATTATTTCATATTCATCAGTGGGAATCAGAAGTATTGTTGAATCATTGTAACGTGGTGCAATATTGTCAGTAGTCATATAATTGTAGAATTGTTTCAATTCATTAGCAGTATTTTCACCAATACTTGAAAAGTGTGAGTTCATTGCCTCAGTTATTTCTAGATTGCTATTGATAATTTGGCCATTAATTTTTAAAGATTCAATATCTGCCTTCTCGGAAATTTTCGATTTATTTCTCAAACAGTAATTGATTGTATCCCACATTTTCTTTGGATTACCTTGAGATTCTTCAAATTTTCTATTGATATATTCAATTTTAGCTCTCTTTACCATGGCATTAACTTTATTCCTTTGAATTTTATAATCAGTAAGAAATTCTACATTATGATTGTTTCGTTTGAATATTTCAAATTTTTTATTCCTAATTTCAATTTCACGAATTATCGCATTAGTGATCCAGTCATTGTTTTCACGAATCCTCATGTTTGTTTTGATAGAAGATAGTTCTTTAGCTTCCAAAATTAAATTCATTAATTCTTGAAATTCTCTGCACTGACTTTTATTTAGATTTTCAGATAATATTCTTCTGAATTTAGGATAATCAATTTTAATTATTTCTCGTTTTTTATAATTTTTCAATACAATATCTGTTTTTTTAATGGATGTATATATTATTCTATGATCACTTATTGAGGTATCTTCTAATTCTATGTTGAAATTCAGGTGGTAGCAGTTAGTAAGAATATGATCAAGAATGCTGAAACAATTGTTTTGTTTCCTGGTATAATACATTGCATCAATTTTGTTCATGATATGGAAACCATTGCTATTAATTATGTTTCTATAATTAGTAGTATCATTACTGTCTGCTAAGAGATTGATATTCATATCTCCCATTATAACAATTTTTTCATGAATCTCCATGGTTTTATCAATATAATCAAAAAAATCACTAATTTTTGAATTCGGTGGTCGGTAGAGGGCAATTATTTTCAATTTGGAATTGAATTGGGAAATATCAATTTCAATGGTATTGTATTCTTTATTTATATTGCTTTCAATTTTTTGATATATCAGGTCATTCTTTAAATAAATTGCCACCCCACCTCCCTGTTTATCGTCACGACAATGGTGGATACTATTGAAATTAGGAATATTAACATAATCTGTTTCATTTGATTTCATCCAAGTCTCAGTTAAAATCAGGATATGAGTTTCTCTATTATTTTTCAATATAACTTCTATTTCATCAATTTTGTTAGCCATACTTCGAATATTTAAGTATAGTATATTCAGATCATTGATTTTTGTGAATTTACCAAAATTTATATTATTCATAATTTGTTCTATCTTTAGCTGAAGCTATTTTTTTTTGTAAAATTGGACATTCATCACTATCAGAAGTATGATTATACGTATTATTTACTTTGAATTTATCATTTGCGATTTTACAATTTATGCAACAAGGGCTATTATGATTATCACATTCATTACTTTTATGATTCCCAGAACAAAATGAACAGCTCAAGGGATTTCTGCAATCCTTTCCAAGGTGCCCATAAGCATTACAATTGGAACATGTCATTATATTTAAATCTTCTCTAATATTGAACCTATGCCATCCAAGAACTATAATTTTGTTAACTAACTTTCGAAATGTTTTACCATTAGTTTCCACATAAATTATATATTTTTTGGTGTATTTTGATTGTCTGGAAAATTTTATATTCAGAATATCTTCATCATCTATATAGTTGAATATGCGCAGTTCTTCCTTCAATTCTTCTGTATTTCTATATTTTTTTGTTCCAATGAAAACTAATCTGGGTGATCTGAGCTTGGATGTTGTTATGATATATTCATTTCCTATGGCTTTTTCTGTCACTTCTTGTAAACGTTTTATTTCTGCCTCTGAATTAGATTTCAGTAGTACTCCTCCTTTTTGAATTTCTTGAATTTTTGTTATGCCAGCTTTGGCTGTAACAGGATTTATTTTAGCTTGGATATCTTTTTTGGTTTTTTCATAAGTTTGATTATTTCTCGGTTTTATGATTAATGCTGGAGTATTGTGTGGGGGTATATTCTGCTTCTGATTGTTACCTTTGAGTATATCAGAATAACTTTTTCCATTGTTTCCAATTTCGTTCGAGTTTTTTAAAGTTTTGTCAAGTTTTTCATTTAATAAATTCAACTCCTTCAATATAATATCTTGTTTATCATTTCTCTCCTTGATCATTTTATTGTATTCTTCTATTAGATAGCTTACCTGACTATTGAGTCTTTTTATCACTTTCTCATTATCTGAAATGATGTCATTCTTTACTTTTAGTGCTTCTTTTAGTAATTCGTTTTCTTGTTGCAAATGAAATATTTCATTATCCTTCATCAGCTGTATTTCAGGTATAGTTTGGGTAATGGTGAAGTTATTACTAGTCTTTTCTTCATCGTCATAGTTCACTTGGGTGAATTCAAAATCTTTATTGCATTGATCTTCCTGTAGAATTTTTAAATTGTCTTGTGACATATTGACAAGACTATTTTTCCATGAATGTCAAAATCATATTTGGAAATTAAATACCTTAAAACTCTGAATGGCAAGCCTTCTCCAATGGAACACATACAATATACACCACACTCAAGATATATACAGTTTTTTCACTTGATAAAACAGTTTTTTCACAATTATATGATAATATTCTACAGCCTGAACTTTACAGTGTGACTTTTATTATTATCGTTGGAATTCAGATATATAGACAATTCAAATGATCAACAATTAAAATAAATGAATAAGTAAAGTGTATAGACATTGAACATAATAAAATAAATAATAATAATAATACGTATTGCACATTTGAGAATGTACAAGTCTGTCAAACAAAACAAGAACCGGTGGATACATAGGTTTGTAGAATCGAGGGGGGCGTTAAAATATAATCAGATTAAAAATTATCATTATGATAACTTAATCTGAAATGATGAAGATTATAAATGTTGCACAGTTTTCAATATTGAATTTGGTTTTTTAGTTTTTGGTTGTGATTACTCTCTGTTCATAAACTTCAGAGTATAAAGATACTTTGTTCAAATGAACAAACTGTTGAGACAATCAAGTAGAAAATTTTCACAAGTATGTATCAGCCGAACTGTACTTGTTATTCCTTCCTTCAATCTAATAGCAACATTATGCTGGACTGAAAAATGGTAGGTTTGAAAAGAAGTCCTGTTGAGTCATATTTAAATTCCCATATGTGTCTTCAGCAGGATTTTCATGTGCTATAAAATATGAATAAATGTCTCCATCAACAAAATCTGTTTCTGACTTTGCATAGGCTTCACATATATCATAAGTATGTTGCTGCAAACATTAAAAAAAAAATACCCACCAACATAGTAGAATGAATCACAAAGGCATATAACTCAGAGAAGTGTAAAAACTCCTGCCTTGCTAGCTGAGCTACTGCGCATACTAGCCACGAGTGGAGATGTGCACTGCGATTTTTAGTACACGAAAAGTGCTGATTGAAACTACTGTTTTCCGTAAGGGTCTATACTGTGATTGAACTGAACTACAATCAATCGATCGCTTTATTTAGATTGAGGGTTTAAAAGTGTGAACACTGTGTTTTGATACTATACAGGTCGGATTCCTTATTGTTCTGATATTCCCTGTAACAAAGTATGTGTTCAACTTGATTTATATCAACATGCTAAAAAAAGGAACATTTTCGTAAATAAAACAAACGGAGATTTGGTACGAAAGTTCCCGGAAATATGATCTTGGAATCTCCTAACATCTTCATCTACTTATGCCTGCTATCATAACTGGATCAGAATACTGGCAGCTGACACACCTTCTTATGAATTTTGTTACATATCATGTAGACGTGTGTTCGAGCATTTATAATGAACAGTTTTCTGATAGATGATGAACGCTCTTCTGAGTGCAGTGTGTAGCAGTGCATTACATCAAAAGATATTATGTTTCTGAAAATTCTCATCTGCTGCATTTGGTATCATAAAACTACTGAATATTTTTTAAGAAATGAATACAGATATTGAGAAATACTAACAAAGCATACTTGAAGGTTAAACATCGTGCCGATTCCCTCATCAACGGTAACCACTACGACCCTCAGAGCATCAAAGACATTTCAGAGGAGGTCACCAAAAGATGGCAGCAGTTAGTGACGTGCGCAGAAGAGCGTCACAAACTTGTGACGGCCAGTTTGAACTTCTACAAGACTGCCGAGCAAGTTTGTTCGGTTCTGGATAGTCTGGAGAGGGAATATCGAAGGGACGAAGATTGGTGTTCCACTGGTAAGAGCCAAAAATTTGCAATACTGATAAAGAATAGATATGAGCAACCTTGAGAATATTTGATAAATTTTCAGAAGTGCTCTGCTATTGTTGAAATTTCTATTGCATCCATATTTCCAGCTCATTTTTCATATAATCTCAGTGATGCTGCAGAACGGTTCTGGACGGAACTATTGAACTACATTTTTGTTGAACATCCACAATAAATTTTACTATTGAGAATTTCTGTTGACCAAGTTACTAACTTGTATAATAAAGATAGATCTTCGATCAGATTAGTGATTAGATCTTTCAGATGCAGGTAGTTTATGGTTGTTGATATTTTGAGGGTCTTTTCAGAACCGATATGATGATGATGTTATATTTTATCAACGTGAGGGTTCTTCTTCCCTTTAGGTTTATTGGATTTCTGTCTCCTTTCGTTAACAAGTTCTCCAGATCAGGTAATAATTTTTTTCAAGAATAAATACTGGGATATGTAATAATATCATCACTCGACTCACCACATAAGACACCAGTTATCTATCACAATGGCCTGAAGCCGAGTCATCAGTGTTCATAAGATTCGAACAAATGTACTCCTATTATTCAGCAAATCCGTTGCTGATCCGGCCTGGTTACCGGCGTAGAGATAATGGAGCAATAGCCTGATATTTCTCACATACACTTTTTAAACTTCACATTGAATATTGGATTTCAACCCAGATAAGGTAATTAGAAAATTTTGGACTTGCACACACATCAACCTGACTTTTAGCCTGGAGACGCCATGTTTCTCCTACCGTGGTCAAAAGTCGAATCGTGAGGGTTCTTATTGACCATATTCTCGATGATGAAGCATTTCATATTGAGAGGCTGTCTAGAAAAGTGTCAAATGTCGAATAAAAATAGAATTGTGGTATTTTCAAATATTATCTTCTATTCCGTTTAGCTCAATGGATTCTAGATCATTGGAAATCAAAGCAAGAATTCTAGGTCTCTTTTCGTCTCTCAAACAACAATACATTCTACTAGTGACACTGAATGTGACAGTAGTAACGCCAACACAATAACACAAAATGATATACCCTCTCAGACAATATATGGTAGGTTCCCTTCTCCTGAGACAGCTTCATATTCTTCTGAAGTTTTGATGATTTTAGAAAAGGACAAGTGATATCTTGAAGAAAAAAATTACACCAAAACAATCAGTTTTTGCGAACTCCAAAACATAAGCGTTACACCAATAGGTCAAAATTCATCTGGTTTGTTTTTGTCAGGAAATTAAGAGATTTTAACTCTCTTCTCAGTGGACCATGTACTAGATTACCTTCATAATTTCAATACAAAATGGAGTGATAAATCAGGATGATCTATTTCAAAAATTTCAATGGGATGTCCTTTTACGCACGTGTCATCTTCTATTGAAATAAGTGAAAATATACCGAATGTCCCATTTTAAAATGAGAAAGTAAGCGTTACCGGCGAACCGGTGACAGACAACGAATGAATGCATAAAGAAATGTATGTACTAATACAAGGAAATTTATTTGTTTATCTGTAGAAACAAAAAAGAGATTGATGAGCCCAGTATAATAACTACAGAAGACCAATTTTCAAACTTGGGTTTCGTTACATCATTGTGTATATCGCATAATGATCAGTATTGTACAGATTGCAGATGAGAAAAATCAAATAAAAGATTCAGAAGTATTGGGATGCCCGTCACTTCTTCCACGATGTTCTTTGAACATTATAGGGATTCACTTTCGTGCGCTCCAAGCGATAAAAAAAAATTGTAGTTAACCATAAAGGCTCGTAATTTCTCCAGGTCAACCGAACGTGGACAAAGCAACATCGATCTCCCAGCTCATCAACAAACACCAAGAACAAAAAGAGGCCTTCCTCAAGGCCTGCACGCTCGCCCGTCGCACCGCAGAAACTTTCCTCAAGTACACCACGCGCAGCTTGCAGTTCTACAACTACCCGAACACGGGCGGCAATCACGAGGTGCGGGTGAAGGGCATCTTGGAGAAACTGCTGAGCCAGGAGAACATGGTGCTGGAGCACTGGACGCAGCGGAAGAAGCGGCTGGACCAGTGCCAGCAGTTTGTGCTGTTCGAGAGGTCCGCCAAGCAGGCTATCGAGTGGATACATGATACCGGTGAGTGATGTCGTAAAATTGTCTGGGAAATGTTCATGACCCCAAGAAACATAGTTGTTTATAATAGGGATACATAAACAACATACATAATGTTATTATGAAATAATAATAAGATATAACAAGTAATGGCGGATTTATGCAACATTTGCGTAGTCCTAGTCTTAGTTCTGAGCATACTCTTAATTTTTGTCTTAGAGATTTGAGGTATTTACCCAGAAACGTTAAAACTTGATTTAGGAATAAGAGTCATGTGAGAATTTGTGGTTCTTTTTGTATCAGAGATGAGAAAATTTATCTATCCAACTTATCAAGATCTGAGCTTCCTCATAATATTATTTTCGGAACATGTAAATAACAAATCATCAACAATTCTATCAAAGGAGCATGCGCCGAATCCACATAACAAGCATAAGCATAAAAGTTCAAATTAGTCAACTTTCAAGGTCGTTTCTTAGGCTTGTGCTTATGCTTGAGACTAAAATTGGTGTGTAAACGGCCTCATGCAAGTACCTTGTTACAACTTCTAGTTATGCTTAAAATTATGACTAAGACTATGATTAGGACTATGCAAATGTTGCCATAAATCCACTATTAAAAAGATTCCAATAATCATGCAATATCAATCTTGTCTTTTATAAGTAGGTATCCAAACAAGAAATGGAATTATCAAAGTCTCTGAAGCAGATATTTTTTCAAGTTAATTTTGAATCTAGTTGCTTCCTGTATATTCCTCAATTGACTTGGTAATGAGTTGTATAGAACGATTCCTGTATGAAAAATAGATTGTTTGCCGATATTTGACTTATACGTATTTGCTATTAGTAAATTTTATTGTCTTGTTCCATGATCATGCAATGAAACAATTTCATTGAAATTTAAATTCGAAATTTTCAATTTATATAGGACAAATTGTATAAAACAACATATTTTAAGTTTGTATAGTGATGTCAGATCTAATAAATCTCTCGGTTTGTATAAATTCATGTTTGGTTCTAGAAAATCCAAATTGAAAATACGATATGGTAAATAAGAGAGAAATAAATACTTTTCAAGTATCTAGAAGTAATGAAATTTCGTATTTTGAATAAAATGCTATGCGGGGAGTATAAAGATACCTCATATCATATCCTCTGCGAATGTCTGGCAGTGGCTCGCCAGAGAAGAATATGCCTATGCTCCGCATATTTGTTGGAGCGTGAGCAGCTAAGAAACACTCCGTATTCTAGCTGAGGTGAAATATCACGAACACTGCAAACCATTATTCAGGCAGTTCAAAATTTTAACTTTACCATCATCATTCATATTAAACACCTTAACACATTTCCGCAAGAATATCGACACATATGAGACCCATGCAAGCATCCACAACTACCCAACAAGAAATGCAGGACACCCTAGACCCCCAAGGTTTAAGCTAACAACATCTACACGCAACACTTTGGACGTTAATATATATAACAAACTTACATCACCCATTGAAAACTTGAATAGCTATAGTTATGAAAATACAATCAAGAAGCTTTTTATTGAAAAATCATTTTACTCAACTCAGGAATATATGGTGACTCCATTTATTCAGGTACCTGAACCTTTACTGATAGTTCGTCTGTACTCTATATTGTGTATATGTATATGGTGTAGTGTTATGTCATTTTAATTTCCTGTATTTTATTGATCCATTGGGATTTCTTAACTATTATTGATAGTGATCATTAGTCCTACTAACTGACTTTTATTCATATTATGTAATAGATCTACTGATTCACATTATGTTTATTGGTTTGTATAATAGGTAGGCCCAATTATCTGTACCACACTTGCTCCAAATGTATTAATGCATATCGTGGTTAAATAAATTCTATTCTAACATCTTCCTGAGCAGAATACTGACCCTCTGCGACGGAATAGAGCAGTACAGGGAATAATCATGTACACATAGAATGAGGCTCATCCTCATCCCATCCTCGGGCTTGGGCCAAGGAGGGTGTGGGGGTTCTAAAGCTGGGGCAAAGCTAGATCTGGTGCTGGACTAGTGAGTGCTCTAACGTTGGGGTGAATGAAGGCTGTGAAACGGCACTCTAGGCTCAGAGGACGGGCCCGTACAGGCTCAGGCACTGCGCCAGCAATGGCTAGATCGCTGGATCTGGGGGCACTGGAACAGGGCTGATATAGAAACCCATACGCGGAACTGATAGCGGTCTGGCACCGGGCAAGCGAAGACCCTGGCGAGGGGCTTCTCCGAGAGTCTGAAATAAGCCGGGGAGTAGAACACAAGGGAGCCTCATAAGTGGACGGAAATCAAAGGTGTAGAACGAAACAACGAAACACAAAGGATCCACCCGAGCGGTCTAAGTGAATCGAGGGCTTCAGAGAGCCCCCTGATTGCAAAATCCAAATCCAACCCAAACTAGTCCACTGTCGAATACCGTTATTTTTTCCTATGAGCTCTGTAGACTTTTCAAATATTTATTGAAATTAACGATATTTCATAACATAAAAAACGCGTGGAGACGCTCGACGAAGTCAACTGTGAACAATCCAATACAACCATATTAGATTCGATTTACGTATCCATTCTCTATTTCTATAAGACAAGTGCAAGACTATTTCTTATTGTTATTTTTATCATTGAATTTTCTGGACTGAATACTTACTGCAGAAAACAGAAAACGAACACACAACCGAAGGATTAGATGATATGAGGATTTTCATCAGTATTTGTCAGATTTTACCCTGGATTTTACTAGATGATAGGTTTTGAAGATGAAAGTGACAAACGAGGATGACGTTAGAAAGTAATTTATTTTCTTGTTATTTCTGTGAACTCTAAGCATTATGCTGTTGCCAGGGTCACAACAAGCATCTTGCAAGATATATAAGTATTCAATAAGTGATTATTAAGGACCGGGTGGAACCATTGTCTTCTTTGAATTTGAATACTGATGTCATTGGTCATATTGAATCTCATAAGGTAATTTCTAGTTATGAATGTGGCACAGTCGAAATATGTGGTTAAGTTCGCATTGTTTGTTGGAATAAGCAGGGATATATCAACACATATCACGTGAGAAGGTGTTTTGACGTCATCGAGAGTTGGCGTTCGTCGAAGGTGTCGATCTCAATTATTGAAAAAAAGTATTGGGATGATTTGAAATAACGAATGGTTGCATCAAATAATATTTATACTTGAAATGATCAATATAACATGGGTATGAAATATAATATTCAACACACTTTCTCATTGTCACTCTTTTACCTTTATAAAAGGGTATTCACGGTTCAAAAATCTCCGTACTATGTATCGTTTCGAAGAAACAGATACTAAGGTTCCCATGATGTTCATCCTCATCTAGAGCTCACTGTATCCCTATTGTTTCATGTTTCATGGGGTAATAAAGACAATCAATCAAATTGGATCTCATGGATATATATGGTTCTTTTGCTTTCTGGTCATTGTCTGCGGGGAAATGGACAATCGTTGATATGTTTCTCTTCTTGTAGGTGAGTGTTATCTGACAACGCATGCAACGAATCTCGGCAATAACATTGAAGAAACTGAAAGCCTACTTAGAGAACATAACGAATTCAAGGGTACTGCCAAAGAGACCAAAGAGCGGGTGAAACTTTTGATCCAGTTGGCTGATAGCCTTGTGGAAAAAGGTCACGCTCACGCCTGCTCTATCAAGCAATGGGTTGCCGCAGTTGACAACAGGTAAATCGATGTCATTTTGATAAAAAAATCATGTAAATTCAAATTTTCACATATACTCTAATAAATAGGTAATAATGTACTGTTTTTTTAGATACAAGGATTTCAGTTCTCGAATGGAACATTATAGACAGCAACTGGAAGAAACTTTAGGCATTCAAGAGGAAGTTAGTGAAAAGAAGGAGCATTGTATTGATAGGAATTCCGACCCAAATTTGGAAGCTAAATTGAAGGAGGTAGCTGCAAGAGAACTGAAAGAACTGAATGAAGAGAAAAGAAGATCTGCTAGGAGAAAAGAGTAAGTGCTAGATGTATTTACATGTAGGAGTTGAAAGTAACAATGATGTAGCCTCTATTTTCTGTTTTTTTGGCGCAATTTATTACTGAAAACAAAAATGTACTGTACCAGTTCAATACAAACGAGAAGAAAACAGTTACACTGAACGAAGAATAGGACGATCATTTCTGAATTTACAAAAATGAAACAACCACTTGTTACATAATTATCACTATGGTTTATTACATTTATCACGAATGCAAGATGGACATACATTATCAAAAAACTCTGACAATTGTGAGAACATCAAAAAGTATCTGACATCATTTTCACTATAAAGTATGTATGAGGATCATACATTATGCATACACAAAAAATGTTTGAATGATATTGTCCATTTCGTCTATTTTTTCCATTTTGTCCGGATGTTTGCCAACATCGAAAAATTGTACAAAGTTCCATCCTGTACTGAACTCGATAGTTTATCAATAGGAAAAACACTGATCTCTAGAAAGAATACGCATTAAAGTTTATCACGATGCCAAAAGGCACATAAACTTTTTTGAATTTTTCATTCCTGGATTTCTGAAAATAAATTTCCGAAAAAATGCTTCCATTCGAACACGACGGCAGCAGGTTATGAAGTCACAAATACCATGAAGCGCCGATATCCTATTTGTAGTCGAGAAGAATCGATAATTCGTTATTCACTGAGATGAACAGCGTTGCCGTAACTGATTTCAATGTCATGGATTAACAGCAAAATAGTTTCGAACTCACTGGTTCTTGTTTCCTTATCGAATTGTGACATATTATGATATAGATATCAAAGTGATAGGACACAATTTGAAATACATATTATGTAATGATTATTCTTCAATAAACTACTTGATTGAATAAATGGATAATCAAATGATAATGATGATATCCAATTCGTGAAGAAAATTCAATGAGGGCTAACATTTTTAGACTCATCAGTTGGCGTTACTAAAACGTGGGGTCAATTTCAAAGTCAAAAATCCCAAAATTTTGCCGGATAGCCCTGAAGGCTGTGGCCTGTTTTATCGAATATATTGGGAAAAAATGATGTAAAATATCTGAAGAAATAGAAAACCTCAGTTATGGAAAGATAATAGCAGACTTACGTTTTTTTTAACTCTCAATGTGGTTTTTTACTACCAATTCTTACATTAATGGAAAAAAGATATCATAGGAAAAGGTCAAATGACATGAAAATAAGAAGTATATTTATCAGTTCTACCAACTCTGACCTCACGTTTCAGTAGCACGATTTGAAGGATAATAAATAATGTTGGCCCTCATTGACTGATTCTTTTGTTCAGTGAATTTCCAATTCATTTTTTTTTCTAATTCAGATTCATCATGGCCGAACTGCTACAAACCGAACGCACCTACGTGAAGGACCTCGAGACCTGCATCACCTGCTTCATGAACGAGACTCGCTCTTCAGACTCCGTCCCCAACACCCTCCAAGGCAAAGAGGACATCATCTTCGGTAACATGGACGAGATCTACACCTTCCACAACTCGATCTTCCTCAAGGAGTTGGAGAAGTACGAGACCATGCCCGAGGACGTCGGCCATTGCTTCGTCACATGGGCGCAAAAGTTCGACATGTACGTATACCTCCGTACTAAGAGTTACTCATTAGAAATATTTATTTTTCTCATTTTTTCTGCGGAAAAAACATCACATTCGTAGTAGCTCTGTGGAACTGCTGTCAAATCTATGATTCTAGAGGATATTTCAGATGAAACATCTTATTCAACTCAGCATAAATTGCTTATGACAAAACATAGAACAAGCTTCATCATTTTGTCACAATTGTCATAAATTCACTACTACTGAATATAAACTTATTCATTATTGTAGGGTATATAACAAAATAACAAATATGAATTATTCAAAAATGAACTTGGCGGCACCGCAAAGTTTCGTAGTAGGCGAACGGTAATCATGGTTTGTGATCAGCTTTTCATTTTTCAGTAATTCATTTAATATTATCAATTTGCAGCAGACTATTTTGTGAATATGTATGGTTCGGCAGTGTCAAATTATTAAAGAAAAATCAATTACATACATCCTAACCTGATATTTCACAGGCGGCGGTACAGTGGCGGTGTTGTTTGAGGGCTTGCTTTTGTTTATGGAAAGCGTGTTTATAATATGAATATATTGAATCACTCAAACTTTACAAAATAACGTATGAATATAAAAATGCGTGAGTTAATTTATTAATGCATATACACATATTTTTAGAAATTATGATTCATTAGATATATAATAATAGGGTATTCAGGATCTGACTGCAAGATTACTACGTTCATCAAGTATTCAATGGAAATCTAATTTCATCTTATGTTCATGAATCATCATGTTGTTCTGAAGTGCATACTACACATCATTTTTGTAATTGTTCTTAATTTAAAGCATAGTTAAAAAAATTAAGAAGTGCTTTCTGTTTCATAAAGGCTATAATGTGCTCAACTTCAATGATGCATCATACAACATACAAAAAGTGACTGTTGTAGTTATTTATTCGTCGCATTAAAAAATATCCACACTATGACATTTTATTGACAGTGGAAACGGCGGATATAATCCTAATCGAATCAATTCTAAAACAATTTCCCGCATAATTTGATTTAATTTTATTTCACATACGTATCGGAGGTTTCATTCACTACGGTTAGCCCATAGGTTGAGACACTAGCTCTCGATGCATAGTGATCTTGAAGTCGGTTCTCAGACTATATGAGAGTATATATTGTTATTATAAATTCCATAATGTGTTAGTATGAACAAACAGTATTTATACTGGTGTATGAGACTGTTCATGAAGCTTTCCTGAATTTATATATTATTTCATTGAATGTAACTCAGAATTTTAAAAATATTTATATTTGGTTGATCATTACAAGAAAAGTATGAACAAACAGTATTTATACTGACGTATGAGACTATTCATGAAGCTTTTCTGAATTTATATATTATTTCATAGAATTTGAAAAATATTTATATTTGATTGATCATTACAAGAAAAAAGAGAAAAGAAAATAAGAACAAAGAATTAAACCACTGGAATTCAATCGCTATTAAAAATATCAATAAGAACAAAGAATTAAACCACTGGAATTCAATCGCTATTAAAAATATCAATTCTCTGGGAACGTTTCTGCAGAATTGTCCCCACCATTCAAGATTTCATTCATTTATCCCTGTTTGGCGTATACATTTCAATGATTTATCAATTAATCGCGGTATCTATCTATTTAGTCTGAGGTGTTACTCATCTATTCCTTTCAATGATCGAAGGTATGTGCACTACTGCAAGAACAAGCCAGAGAGTAACAGTTTGCTGGTGCAGTTCGGGGTGGGGTATTACGAGGAGTTGCAGAAGAAACACAAGGTGGAGCATCCGATAGCCGCTTATCTGATCAAGCCCGTGCAGCGGATAACGAAGTACCAGTTGCTGTTGAAGGACCTGCAGAGTTGTTGTCAGGAAGGGCAAGGAGAAATTAAGGTGAGGTTTTATTGTTTTCGAAGAAAAGTTTGTTTTACTTGTAAGAGTACTGATTCATTTACAATGTTGGCTGCCAAACTGAAAATAATCCTGGAAGAGTAAGGTAGTTAACGTTATGGGATACAATAGAGTGTTAAGTAGTGCCGTTCATGTTTAGAAATAACGTGAGAAAACGAATTGCTACCTTATCTAAATTTAACAGGTTATTCATCTTATAACAGGAGTATTGTAAGTTAGTATATCCCTAATTATGACCAATGACCAAGTAGGATCATCTTCAATGATACTCTGCTCGCCAGCAGCCAGAGAACCACCGACATTCCAGAAGGAAAAATGTATTAAAAAATTGTTGTTCTGAAATTGATAATCATACAGTCAGTTCTCATCAGGGATAATGAAATAACAATCTGAAGTAACGATTACATAAGATATGGAGTTGTTTATTTGAAATGTGAGACAGAACTGAATGAATTGGGCGTCCTGATTCTGAATGCGAAGTGATTTTCAACCTATTTTGACTCCTAATATCATTTTCCGGAAATTGGGGTGGTTTCATGGCTGATGGCGAGCAGTGTACATCAGTGTAGATGATCCACTTGGTCATAGAGTGCATTTTTGGTATATCTCTCAGGAGTATTTCCATTAGAAGTGAGACACACCGTATATGATTTCTATGGTTTTTATAGAAATATCTAGATTTGCGATCTCACACTGTTTTATATAATAATAAATATATATCGGAGTCAGGATAGATACCATGTCTTCTATGCTTTCTTTGAATATTTTCTGGACAGCTTCAAATGAATCTGCATATTTCGTATATAGAATAGTAAGAAGAGAAGAGCGGAATTTCTTGCAGTTTCTGATGAAAAAACCTGAATTACAAATGGCATATCCAATAACACTATCAATGTGATTCACATAATTGAACTTTTCATCAAAAATAACTGCTAGATCTTTGCATTCACAAACCCGTGATAGTTGTTGATTTGACATACAATGATTATAAGCACGAGACACATTTTTGCGGGACAATGTCATTGCACTTGGTATTATAGAGGAGCAAAATGTTTTCTATTCACGAATCATTAAGAATCATTGAATCTTTTCGTAATTGTTCACAATCTCTAAAATCCTTTTACCTCACGGTATAACTTCAAATCATCGCCAGTAGAGTTTCTGAGTTCAAATTGTCACATATGTCATTAAACGATAAACGACCTGTATACTACAAAATCTGCGTGGATCAATTTTTATACTTGATTGAGAAGCACCAAAAAATGTTCTATAGTTATCTCCGATATTCAACTTGACAATTCTTCTATAGTTTTTGTATTGCTCAAGTTAAAATGCGATAAATTACTTAGAACTTCAGTTGATTGATTGAACATTACAAGAAACATTTGTGTTTTTATAAATCTACTCCTTTGTCCATTTTCCATTCATCATGGATTTCCATTGAGTAAGTGCCTGCTCGATGAGGAAGTTTCCTTCAGATGAATTTTCATAAAATAAGTTCGGAACTCTCCAGTTTTATGTCCATGCTGTACAGAATGGCGAATGAAGCCGACATTCATGGCTCCTTCCTCTTGTTGTGCCTGTCAGTATTTTGAGTGGTGTGGACGGACTCGAAGTATTAGGCACTGTTGCAAGATATAATCTGCAACTTTCCTAGAAAATAGATGAGTTTTATTAAGGAACGAATTCATTAGTTGACGAGTTATGAATAACATATTGTAATATAACGATACTGAAAAATTATAGATACTATCGAGAAATATCATAATTTATCTTTATTAGTGATCAACTTCATTCAGCCAATGAGAGACGTATACAAATTATTCATAATACTTGACAAAGTAGGATTGAAGAACCTATCATATCCCATTGCTGTTATGATATAGTTATAATGCATTCAAAGAACAATTTCCGGAAATCTAGACATATTGATGATGTCGGCAACGTCGTACTGGCACAGGGAAACGTATTTTAACTCTGTGTGAACGTGAATTTTCAGAATGTAAGTCATAGGAATGGTGGAGGAACCAAGTTCCTCTTTTATTTATTTTTTTCTGAAGTGAAATTTGATCTTATGAAACCTCAATATAGGAAACTTCCTTATTCAGAATCGTTGGACTTGATTGAACCTGTTCGTTACAGGATGGTTTGGAGGTGATGCTCAATGTTCCCAAAAAAGCCAATGACGCCATGCACTTGTCTCTTCTGGAAGGTTGCGATATTTCTGTAGACAAGCTCGGCGAGGTCGTTTTGCAAGACGCTTTTAGCGTTTGGGATCCCAAGCAACTGATCAGGAAAGGCAGAGACAGGCACATATTCCTGTTCGAGATGTACCTTTTGTTCACCAAAGAAGTGAAAGATTCTGCGGGGAAAGTCAAGTATATTTACAAAAATAAACTGATGGTGAGTACATGTTATTAATTATGGGTTTCATTTTATGGGCCTAAATACCCTCAAAATATTCTAATAAACATTGCAAACTTGACTTTAGTTTGATGTTGTTTTTCGAAAAGTTGAGTAATCCTAATCTTGTGTAGTAATTCCAGAATTTTGCGTCATGTTTCATGCTGATCAAATTAATTAAGTATAACATGAATCTTTCATGATCTCCCAGAACAACATCTGCCCATTGAATAATTAATTCCATTTGAAGCCACATTTCCACTTACGTCCACGTTGAACGGATTCATAAATATTTGGAATTGAGGTTGAATATCCTCAAATCTGAATGTGAATTGTGAAATCAATGATAGTTCCTCTTGAATTCCGTCCAATGCTATGGAAAATGCAACACCTTCCTCCACAACTTTGCTAAGAATGCTACTTTTTCCATATTTTCTGCCATTGTATCTATTCGTCTTGTGACTTATTTCTCTAAACTTTCTACTTTTTCTTCGTTTGGCGGCTGTGTGTTGACCATGTTGGTCTTGGGCAAAAGCTTTCTTCACAAAAATAGAAACCTTTATTTTTATTTTAAAACTTTGTATTTTGATAACAAACAGTCTTCAGACATCTAAAGAAGAAAGTTTTATATCAGTTTCATTGAAGGAATCTGCCTTAGCTTTTGTCTCTCGAATTCTTGATTATTTACACTAACAAGATGATCCGCTTCCATGTAAAATGTTGAAGCCAAATTTGGTCTTAGTTTTTGGCTGGTTAGTAGTCGGTGCTAGAGAAAATATGGCCGATTTGTCTACTGTCTTGCTAGTATGTATATCTATGAACTAGCAGTTTATATTTTCAGTAAGAGAAACGATTTCAAATCAAATAAGGATTTGTACAATATCAATACTCATAGGAAAAATTAAATTCACGCCCTTGCTGCTAGGTATAAAATAACAGAATTCTCGGAATTATATAAGCCCCAGAATATTTAATCATCTACCACATATTATTATTGTTATCATTAATCAAATATCTATGTCTGTATTTTTCGTAATTTCACTGTATTTGTGTTCCATGTATTGATTGTTGTAAACTAGTCATTGACTAAATAAAGGACATACATACATGATATCAACACATCTTGTGATATTGAACAATGCAAATTTGGTTTGAAATCGTTTCTGTTAGATCATTGTTGTTACTCCATTGATGAATTTTATTCAGTCAGAACTGTCCAGCTGACTGGATAGCTTTTATTTCAATGATTCCATGTGACGTTTCACTTTGTAATGTCTTTTTCTTGACTGACTATTCCTATACAAAATGTACTTTTGTCGTTTAAAGGAAAGTAAATAGAAAAAAAAGAACCGTTTTCGAACATCTGATGAAAAAAGTGTTCCCTCATTTTCATGACAGGAATCTGCCCTTATATTTGATTGATTATCTTTATTACCCCAAGAAACATTATTGTTTATAATAGGGATATATACCACAAAACATACATATAACATAATAAATCTAAACAATAATAATTGCACAATTATTGATTTTCATAAAAAAAATTATAATAATAGTTTGCCACCTGAATGATTGAAACCATTCCCAATTCCGTATTCCAGACGTCGGAACTGGGCGTGACCGAAGACATGGTGGGCTACGAGTGATCCTGTTTTAATGTAGATGATTCTGTCTCAATGGGGTACTCAACAAGTCTAGGACAGAAGCGTTTTTCATTACAATGATTTTTTTTTTATTTAAAACCTTGTAACTTGAGAACGAGCCGTTTCCGAACATCTGATGAAAAAAGTGTTCCCTAATTCCCCATTTCAAACGTCGGATTTTGGCATGACCGAGCACATGGAGGGTAAGAAGTGATAAAAATGTTAAAATGATAATTTGTTCACTTCTTGTTAAAATTCGTACAAGTGTTATAAGACTAGTGAATTCAGTTTGTGTTTCCATTAATTTTCACAAGATGAGTCTATTCGTGAGAAATGGATTCAATTTTGTGAACGTGATTTTAATTCATTTAACATCAAAACTTGGCGAATATGTTCTGCCCATTTCGATGCCGGGGATTTTGAACGGCACAAGCAGAATTGCTAAATCACACACCAAAGAGAAGAAAACTCAAGGTAGGAATCCCTCGAGGAATCCTATCAATAATACCAAATACAACAAGAGAAACACCATAAGTATGGAAGTTTGGAAAAATGATCAGAACCAGACCAGTTGTGAGATGAGATTATTGCTGAACGGGTAAAATGGACATCAGAAGATATCACACGTGTTTTCAAGTTGAGATATTTGAGCAAGAGGACGTTATCCAACGAAGAGGAGCTATTTTTATTTGAGAGAATCCTTGAACTATCCTTTACTATAGGTTCACTTATAATAGTATATAGTGTTATTTTTTATTAATTTTGCTATTTTGAACAGAATTATATTTTGTTATTTTTTTATGCTCAAACACTTCAATTGCTCTGTTTTTGACTCTTTAATATAATAAAACAATGAAATACTATTTTCTCTTGTATTTTCTATAGGTATCTAGAGAAGTTTTTTAATTTTTCAGAAAACAGTTATATTGATAAAATAAGTGATCTGATGTGTACGAATAATGGTCCACTGCTACTACCTCTGGATCATCAGTTGATTATTCTTAAATTTTCTGTAGTTTCTTGTTCACTTCATCTGATTTGCAGGATATTTATAGATTATCAATCATGAAGCCAATCAAAATTCTTCAAAACAAAGTTATTAAATGTATATACAAACTAGATTACTTGGAACCAACAAGAAATCTTTATAAACCTAGGCAATTGTTAGATATAAACTCCATTTACAAATTCAAAATATTGAATTTCATCCATTCCGTCAAATATAATTATAAACATTCAAATCTGAATTTTGAAGTCAATAGTCATAAACACGAACACATAACCAGACAAAAAGATATGTTAACTCTCATCAAAATTAAATCAGATATCGGTAAAAGATCTATTTTATACAATGGAACAATTCTCTATAATGAATTACCTGCCAGACTAAAGAAAAAATTAAGTGTTGAAAAATTCAAAAAAGAACTGAAAAAATACTTATGTCTTTGATTCTCTCCATGTCATCCTGAATCAATTCAAGAAATTATATTCAACAGTCTCTAGAAGAAACAACATTATATGTATTATGTATATGATTTAAAAATGATTATCTGATTATCTAATTTTTGTTTTTTTTTAGTTGCTCTTTCATAATTTTCCCTGCTATAAACATGTATGTTTCTTGGGAATAATAATAAAGATATATAATCAATGCATAAGTAATCACTACCTCCATAATCATGCTCCGTACCTCAAAACACACATACCTGGTACCACGACCTGGTAAATAGCGCCTGGAACAAAATTTCAGATAGGCATTCCTCTCTGTACTACTGATCCATCCAAAATTGCCTTCTCATTTGGAAGATTGAAGGTATTATACAGACGTTTATGTGAATATCCATATTTTATAATGGTAATAATAATTATATACCATAAATTAATATAAATATGCTGGGCTGAGCAGACCAAAAAGTATGTAAACAACATTTCATGACATTTCGCTTTAAGGTTGACAACTTGTCATCTTACTGCCTGTGCAGCCTGTGACGTCACGAGTGACCGTTTCCCCCCTTGCCGCACTATCGATCGAGGCAACCTTCCTATACGAATTATCATCAATTCTACCAACCTTGTGTTTGTCTATTAGGTACTCAACAAGTCTAAGACAAAAGCATTTTTCACAACAATGAAAATCTTTATTATGTTATAACCTTGTAACTTGAGAACGAACCGTTGTCGACCATCTGATGAAAAAACTGTTCCCCAATTCCCCATTCCAGACGTCGGAATTGGGCGTGACCGAGCACATGGAAGGCGACGAGTGCAAGTTCGCCGTGTGGACGGGGCGAGCGCCCATCTCCGACTGCCGCATCGTGGTGCGCGCCGCGTCGCTGGACGCCAAGCAGCTGTGGGTGAAGAAGCTGCGCGAGGTCATCCAGGAGACGTACTTCAGCGGCGCGCTGCCCCTATCGTTGCCCAAGAGCCCGGCCAAGGTGAAGGGGCACAGCCAAAGGTCGAGCAGGTAAACGGACGGCTCGAGACATGAAAATATGGCTACAGTCTGTATAATATTTCTTTGCGCGTACGTCACAACTTCAAAAAACGAATCAAATCAATTCAAGGTCATATGTTCCAGTGAAGCAGTGCCTTGCTGTTTCAGAAATTGGGTTAAAATGAATAATATTAAAAAAAAAATGATTCACTACTCCAGGTAATTTTGACTAAGAAATATTCAATAAAACATAGGATTGGTATATATTCCAAGTTAGAACTCTTCAGTCCGTCAATTTATTGAAGGCAATAACATCAGAACTTTAGTATGTATATACGTATGTATGGGTTGGTTTATGACCCGATATACACACATTTTGTGCTTTGATCTTTCTGAAAAACTCTGCTCTCATTATAGATATGTCCGTCTTCTCAACCAATATCCGTCTGATGTCTTCTTTTTTATATTTGAATCCTACATTTGTGAGAAGTTTGCTTAATGTGCCTATACTTGCGTCAAGAATATGTTTAGTTCTGGGTTCTTCTTTCAAGATTTCAATTCCCTGGCGTACTCAAACTGCTGTCGGTACGTCAACTACTAAACGGCTTGACCGATTGGGTTGAAATTTTCAATGTATAAAACAACAAAAATAAACTAAAGATACTGAGATTATGAAAATAGGGGTAACATTTTAAAAACAACAAAAACATATGTTCTGTAGTAGATTCACGTATAGCTCAGAACGACTGCAACAAATGTTTTATTTTTGTCAAAAGGATACACCAACCATACACCCTATAGCTTGAAAGTCAAACTTGATAGATGGAAATTTGCTCTTGTAGACCTCTAATCAAATCAGATTTTCTTTCCACACCCTGTATGATGAACGCCAATTCATGGTACAACTAACAAATATGGCTATTTTTTTTTAGAACGCAAAGTTCCAGCTTCGCACTTGACACGAGTGCCTAGCTGAACCTTCCATTATTCAATAAAATGTAATTAGATTACTGATTATAGAGGAATATTTTCACACCACACATCATTAGTCACGGACAGCATCCATAGAAATCTTCTGAAAATGAAAAAATGTATAAACTTCACTTGAATGAATGAATTTTGTTCAATAATTCTTCATGTGAAGTCATCGTCTGGTGAATAATAGGGGTTAAGCTCTCAATATGTTTTTTTGTTGACCTTGATGTACTACACTACTACTTAATGTACTTATGTACTACATTCATTTATTAATTACTAATATAATCCTTGAGGCTGAATATCTCTGTTAGATAATCTTTGCCGTGTAGCTTGAATTGAATTAATATCAATTTAACTGATGAAAAGTTAATTCAATCCTTCTTTTACTTTTCAGAGATATGGAGGAATGCAATTCTCTTGATGAAAGTGTCGAGAATTTGGATCGCAATTCCCTAGCATCATTTGGTTCTGGAAATACAACAGATTCGGACAAGGTAAGTGAATAGTAGTTAGTGTATTGCTGATTGATAATCATTTATTTATTCATGTATTGATTTATCAAACAAATAACTTCTATACAGAATAAGATCTGATATGTGGAAGTATATCAGCCCCACAAGTCCTACTTAATCAATATACAGGGTTACTGGTAATTCGATACATTCCTTTGGAGGTGTGATAAGGGAGGTGTTAAGGTGTGGATTTATTCCTTATATGCATTATGCAAAAGTTAACAGTTTTTGAGGTGTTAAAATTTTTCTGTTTTTCTCCAAAAGGAAGACTTTGAGGGTTTGAAAGTTAGTTTTCAGAAAATCTGCTGTACATATTTTCAACCATTCAACTGGAATACATTATCAACACTATGCTCTTATGTTTGGACTGAAAAAAAATCCAGAAATAATTTAGATTATAGATGAATAATAATTAATACAAAGTCGTATTTTTGTTTGTGAATTGTGAATTTTAACACATTCTAGCGGTTATTTTTAGAAAAATCTCTAAGCCACATTTGTCAAAAAAAATTTAAAACTTCCCTAAGGCAATAGCTATCTAACTGGGTACAATTGAACTAAAAGTGCTTTATACGAATTGGTTATTTTAAACGATTAGTAAAAAAGATTATTTATTTTTGGCGATAACACAGTTTTGTATTTTCGTTTATTTGCTCAAGACATCCAAATGGCATAACAAATGTTCATAACCATCATCATTGGGCCGAAGGAACCTCCCGTTTAAGGGACACTAGTTTTGAACGGAAGTTTTCTGTTAATGTGTGGATGGGACTCATTGACAGTTTTTTAATAGGACCACCTTTTTTCCTAGACCATTTGAACAGGGAAATTTATGAACATTTTCTACGGCATGATCTACAAGAGCTTCTTGATGATGTTCCTCTCGCCATCCGAGAACGAATGATATTCCAACAAGACTGCTTTCCAGCGCATTATCGGCTGATCGTTAAACAGTTCATGGATGTACGTTCTTTGAACCAAGATGAAAGGAATATTGAGGGAATTGTTTCAAGCAAACTAGAAGAAGATTATTGGACATAGCCCTAAGGAAGAGTTAACCGTCGACACGTGTTTCGGGCTTTTGGCCCTCATCAGTACCTTGAAAGAAGTGCAAAAGATTGCCAACACTTGGTGGAAGACGAAACAACAAATCGACGGAGTCAACAAACAAGAAGCCAGCCGCACATTTGTGGTTTCGGTCAGAAGACCCTGCATGTCTCTTGAACACTTCTGAGGGTTTCTCGTAAGGGGGCAACCAAATGATGGATAAGAACAATTTTAGAACAATTCAAGTCAAAATTTGTATCTGGGGGTTTTTGGGGTCGGAGGTTATGGTTTTTGAAATTTACCATTCAATTGGTATGGGATGGCATAATTCTTATCTTGTCATCAAATCGTGAAATCGAGTGTATATTTCCGCACAGGAAAGTGTAATTTTTCAATCATTTTGCTGAGGATAGTGATTGGCATAGTTGGGGCAACGATAAACTACAATGTTTTTACATTCCTTCGAGACATATATTCGGGTCGATTCTGTTTGCAAATAGCAATATGGTTGTAGAGAAGATATTGCTATCATAGCAAGATTCGAAAAAGTGGAATTCTGATCATCGATTTTTGGCAATATGATCTGTCAATTTCAATGACTTCTGGTCAGCTTTCTTGCTATCTCGGCAACATCAATTTTGTGCTTGCTATCTTATAACAAGGTAGTGGATTCTTTGTTTTTGCACTACAAATTCTTCCAACTGTATGAAAATTCAGAAAATAGTGGATTAAAAACATATGAGAGTTCAGTTGTGTCACAGACTACTCGAAAACCTTTTCTCAAAGTTTCAATTCGTAGAAGAATTATTGAAAAACTTAGAATGGTGATTACAAACATATAGGATATGTTCACTACTGTGACCAACTACTTGAAAACCTTTTCTTGAAGTTTCAATTTGTAGAGGAAATATGAGACTACAATTTCGGCATATCAGAGAAATTTCAGTTGCCTGATGGATAGTTTATCAAGCTATTTTGCTAGAATATTTTTGAAAAATCACGATTATTTTCATCCGGCTTTTAGTTGTTTTCTCATTTCGGGGACATGATTGTTACTTGCCAGTCGCACAACGACGACCAGTTTCAGCAAATACAAAATCTCTCGATTTGAACAATATAATTTTGTAAAATGTCAGCGCAGGACTGTCTAATTTGAGAGGTTAGATAATCATGAACTCTTCTTCTTCATGAAATAATGGCAAAATCGATACCTAACACTTAAACAATGAGTTGAAAACAGTGTTGTCAGCTCAACAATTCTCAATTTTTCAACAATATTGCTATCACTTGAACTTATAACCAGTCTTGCAGTTACTCTGCAAACAGAATACAGAACTTCATAGCAATATTGTTATATGCTATGATCACAACAATATTATTATCTTAGCAATGTTATAACAAGACCCGAACAGAATCGACCAGATTATTTCGTTATCAGATGACGGTCGAAATTTGCAGCCGGCTCTTGGACTAATACATTGAAGTAATTGAATGCCAATGGGCATTTCCAGTTTCAAAAAATTTTCAGTTTTTTTGTCATAATGTTATGAAGGACCATCCAAATCATAGTCCAGAATTTTTTTTATATTTTTATTCCAAACCATAGCCTTATAAATCAGTGTCGAAATCGCGTGATTCAAACACGAATATTCAAACGTTTAAAATGTGGTGGCAGTTTGTGTCGTCAGGGCGCGTAGTGATTTGATTGGTTGAATGTGGTGGTGGCGACAGAGAGGCGGGATTAGCTGAGAGAAACAACACAGTTGCCAGGTCTTTATAAAATATCTAGATATAATATAAATAGGAATTCAAATAACTGAATCTTGATCAATACATTGCTGACTATTGTTCACTTACCAAGAACTTGAAAATATTAGATATTACCGAGGGTATTATAGCGTATTTTCATAATAATTTCAGGTACACAAATATCCATTGGGATCATTGTTTTGTATTATATAGTTGCTATAAATAACTGATTCAGTTATCGGTTAATTCGATATATTTCATGTCATGACTAATACTTATCAAAATATCTCGATATATCAAATTTATACGTGTTTTGACCATTAGCGTTCCTCCTCCCTGGAAAATATAATAACTTATGCGGCAACCATGCTTCATCTTCAACATAACCTATAAACCAGAAGTGACTCGTCAGTCGAAGCACAAACACGAAAGTCACACCAACACTGTTGCCGAGCCTATTCCAACGATTTCTAATATTCACTGTACACTAATCAAATTGAATAGTAACTGATGATGTTCTGGATATTTCAGAATCAATTAAATATAACCTATATTATTGTTCTTAAATTGTTGCTATCAATACATATTATATTATCTTTTGATGATCAATCTCCTAATCATCCCTAATCAATTGAAAGTACAGTTTATATACCTGACCAAAAATACCTCTTACGAGCTCATTAGATAGGTAAATACCTTCCTAGTTTTCTCTATGTGAGATAGGTACTGAAATATCCTGCACCATCTAGATGTTTAATTATTTCTTCCTCGTTTTGTCCTAGGAGTTCGTACATTTTATGTAATATGGCAACATCGGAAAACTTTTTATTGATTTTTCAGCAAGCGAGACAACATCATACAACATGAACATGTAACCAATCGAAATCGTTCGCGCGCTGACGTCAAACGGTTCCCTCCCTTTAATACTCGTTTGAATTCGTTAGATCATTTTGCCGTTTTCAATAATTTTTTTATCTAAGATCCGGCCAAAATAAAAATCCCAAAAAATTTGTACAAGGTTCTTGAGAGTCATTTATAACCAAATATGATTTTTCTGGAGATTACTGGAAATGCCCATTATTCAATACCAGTCCACTCGCCCATTTTCTTTAGAGAATCATATGAACTTATCTCACCACCAAAGCTAGACAATTACAATAAATGGAGACAATCTCTGCTAAAGTGCAACGCCAGGCAACCTTATAACAAAAATCGTTTTTTTTTTCGATTCTGTGCGTTTTCCTTCGCTCTTTTTCTCATCATTTTTCGCAGCACGCGCGTTTGACGTTGGCGAGCCCGCAAGAATTCGTCCGTACTGAAATGGTCCTTCCTTTTCTTCGTTATCCTACACATCTCTCGTCCCTGGGAAATTTCGATTCGCTGCTCGGTCATATATTCTATTTCCCACGGCTCACCGATGTACAGTGTGTCCAGTTTTCGATGCTTTTGCGTGATATCTCAGTTATCTTTCGAGATAGAACCTTGCGGTTTTCGCGGTCCTGTACCACTTTTCTGTGAAACTCAAGATGGCCCAATCAGATTTTGCATAACTGTTTACGTTTATGAGATACAGGGCGATTTTGAAAATTTATACTTTTTGGACCCCCTCTATATCTACGAAGTTTCTCAGCGAAAATGTCAAATTGGAATCTTATCCCATACAGAATTTTGCGCAGAATTCAGTGGCGCACTCAATTTTTTTTTACTGGGTATGGTTTCGGAGATACGACTCAAACTTATGATTTTTTAAATTGAACACCCTGTATTTTATTAGCTCATTAAATTCCTTATTTTTTTCCCATCAAAATGAAATATGATGAATAGGTATAAAATTTTCAAAAATGCTCCAAAATCACTAAAACGTTGAATTTTAATAGTGGGCTATGGATTTTTCTTTCAAAAAAGTGCCAATTGAAGGAATATTTCATTTGATTCTTCCATGAAAAGGACAAAAACAATCGCAACACTAGTTAATTAAGATAACATAAGAATTAGGTACCTGATAACAACAAATGAATGGTAATAAAAAGTTCATATTCTAGAATAAGCACCTGATTTAATATTCACTAAGACAATTGAATTTCGAAATCAATCAGTAACTTATTCATTGAATTGTTCAAATTGATGTCCACTTTCCCTCACACGCTTTCTCAATTTGTTTTGATGCATTCAAAATCATTAAAGGA